GAGTCTTCTGATGTTCATCCATCGCTGCCTGTCAGTGACAAGCTTGCCTCCCTAGCTGCTTCACAGAGTCCCCAGGCACTATATAGTTACTGAGAGTTAAGTCAGTCTACATGTGCATCTTGCTCTTGTATAAAGCCTTTGATTGCAGCCTGCCTGGAGTTCCCTCAGTGTCACAGAACCAGGAACAGGGAAACACTCCTTATATCCTGTTTACTTTCTCCATGAAAACCCACAAGATGAAGGACAGCTTTGTAGGCCAGCTTGCCTCTGACAAGGTGCCCATCTGCCCACATCACAGTAGTGCTCCGTAGCATCTCTCCTCATAGAGAAGTTCTACCTGGGACAGAAGAGGAGCAAGGAAAGCCATGAGACAGGTCTTAATAGAATCTCGGAACTGTCCTTGGCATGCGTGACCTGGGCCAGGAGGCTTGCACAGGCCTGGGTGACAGCCAGTCTCTTGTGGGTTGGTCCAAAACAGGGAGCAGCATCCTGCAGAAGGTCTCTTTCTCAGGTTGAGAAACCAAATCTTAATCTCCTCTTCTGATGATTGTACAAAAATCAAGTTGCTTGACAGATGCACACACAAACAGGAGAAGTTTGCAATCAAAGCAAGTTGTGGAATGGAGCTGATCAGTGAGATTTTTAATGGCTATTAGCTTGATGATCACTCACCAAGAATAGCTTCCAGGCAGACCAAACCCACGCATAAGTCGGCTCACACCCAGGTAAAGCAACACCCAGTTGAGGAGTATATAAGCGGACCCTTGCAGTCTCCTGACAACAGAATTCAATCTCCAGCTTTGGCTCTCATCAGGAGCCTTTGACTTTCTTCAGTGCGCAAAGGCATCATGAGTTGTCAGATCTCCTGCAGATCTCGAGCAGGAGGAGGATTCCGGGGCTTCAGCAGTGGCTCAGCCATAGTTTCTGGAGGGAGCCGGAGATCCACTTCCAGCTTCTCGTGCTTGAGCCGCCATGGCGGTGGCGGTGGCGGTGGCGGTGGAGGCTACGGCGCAGGCGGCTTTGGCAGTCGGAGTGTGATTGGCCTTGGAGGGAGCAAGAGCATCTCCAGTAGTGTGGCTGGAGGTGGCGGCTTTGGTTCCGGTGGTGGATTTGGTGGCAGAGGAGGTGGCTTTGGAGGCTTTGGAGGTGGCAGCAGCTTCCGAGGAGGCAGTGGCTTTGGAGGCGGTGGTTTCGGTGGAGGCGGCTTTGGAGGAGGCAGCTTTGGAGGAGGCCGCTTTGGAGGCGGCGGTGGACCTGGAGGTTTTGGGGGTCCTGGTGGCTTCGGGCCTGGAGGATTCCCTGGTGGAGGCATCCATGAAGTCTCTGTCAATCAGAGCCTCCTGCAACCCCTCGATGTAAACGTAGACCCAGAGATCCAGAAGAGAAAGTCTCAGGAGCGGGAAGAGATCAAAACTCTCAACAACAAATTTGCATCCTTCATCGATAAGGTCAGTTAGAAGTGGCTCCTTCTGATGTTCAGGGCTGTGGCTTCCAGTGATCGTTGAAAAGGAAGCCATACAGCTTAATTCCTTTTAGGAGCTACTGGAGTGGCTTTGCAGCCCGGCTTGTTTAAATCCCAAACGTGGAAAATAGCTGGGTGTGCAGGATATTTCTGTAACAGTCTGCAGTTAGGCATCACTTGCTTCTTTTCTTTTCTTTTTCAGTCCAAATATTTATAGAAAATTCTGGCAATTATAGGAAAATTGTTACAGGCAATTAATGAATCCAGCAGGTCTGGCCATGTGATTGCAGGTATTGAAAGGGGTTGGTGAGATATTTTCTTCCTCAGTAGTTTTTTCCTTCCTTAGAAATTCATTACTCTATTAAATTCCGTGAAGTGGAACTTGAAATATCTGTTTGAAATTCCAGCCTGCCAGAGAAACATTCTCAATTTGCAAACCCTAAAGTCTTTAATATAATGGTGTCGCTTTGGGTGTTACTGGGCTTTCTCCTATTTCAAGGCAGAGAAACCTGTCTTGTTTGAATTACACAGGAATTTACAGGGCTCTTAAAAACCAGCCAAGGAGCCCTGCCCTCCAGGACCCATGCCTAGCATCCTGGGTTGCAGCTCCAGCAGATACCTGCTTTTGGTTTGCCCCAGAATTTATGGGACATTAGCAGGGATGCAACAAGGATCAGGGAGAAAAATGGCCTGGGGTCTTGGGAGCAGCTGTGAACAAAGCAGTGGGTGTGAAGTAGAAGAGTTCTGTGCATGGAGCCAGTGGTAGTATTAGGAATTTTGTGCATGGGAAGAACCAGTGGTAGCATTAGGTGTCCATAGAACTTTCCAAGTGTGAAGGTAGGGAGCTCAGAAGCTCTGCCAGGCACTCTCCAGGCTCCCTCTGGCTGTAGCGGATGCAGCTTTGTGACTGTCTTCTGTCCCCAAGCAGCACCAGAGCTGCCCAATGCAGGTGTCTTGCTAGTGTGAAAGGTGGCCTGGGCCTTATGTGTTCTTCCTCCCCGCATGGCAGGTGCGCTTCCTAGAGCAGCAGAACCAGGTACTTCAGACCAAATGGGAGCTACTGCAGCAGATTGATGTGGGATCCCGCACCACCAACCTGGAGCCCATCTTCCACGCCTACATCAACCAGCTCCAGAAGCAGGTGGATGCGCTCACTTCAGAAAAAAATGCACAGGATTCAGAGCTGAACAATGTACAGGATCTTATGGAGGATTATAAGAAAAAGTAGGTGGCTGAGTAAATCCTGAGTGGAAATAGATACTGAACAGAACCAGCCAATCACTCATCTACCATTTGCATTTGTGTGATAAAAGGGCTTGGCAGCTGCATATTTGTTGATTATTTATGAGGAAGACATAAAGTTTCAGAGATCTTATTTCTTTTTACATGGTTGAGAGTTAACTTGTAGAAATCCATTCTCATTTGGGGTATGAATTTTGGTGTTTATTATGCCTGGAGAATGGGACATTTGGGATGAATGCAGTAGAAAAAGGAAAAGAAAAAAAAGACCCAGAACCAATCTTACTGTTGTATCACTTTGGTCCCAACAGGTATGAGGATGAAATCAACAAACGCACATCTGCTGAGAATGATTTTGTGACACTTAAAAAGGTGAGCAAGGGCATGTCATGGCCGGGGTGGGAACCGGGTATGTCACGTCACACTGTGTCCAGATAGACACACCAGAAAACAGTGATAAGTACACATAGCGCAGCCAGAGAAAGGGGTGAGATATGCCTGTCTCTGGTTCTCTTAGGGCAGAAAGTCTCTACAATTTGATATTCTGAAGCTCATCTTCTAAGATGTTCTGCATATTTGACAGAACACTACTGTCACTCCCCTATGTAAAGCCTATATTAGATCAAAAGAAATGCAAACACAGAAAGCACTTTATTCTCCTTTGAAAGGGTTGGGGAGGAATGAGACGTCCCTTAGAATGCCTGCTTACAGTTGCTGTTGGTTGTGCTGACATAGGTTTGAGCAGAAGGCCTGAAAGCATGGCTTCTCAGCCTGGTTCCTTCAAAGGACTCATGTATAATTAAGAAACCTCAGGAGAGGCAGGGTGAATAGATAGGATGGGAGGGTTGAGGACTGTGGAAGGGCAAAGAGGCCACTGTGCCCATTGAGCAAACACACTATGTCTCAGACAGGAGGGAAAGACTGGTTAGAAAAGCTTGATCCCATGCAAGTGCTTTGGGTTACGGATGGGACATTACGTAGCAGTGCTCATGGGCAGAGGGGGATGGTAGACTGCATGCCAGATGAGGGCCCCTCAGGGTGTGGCTCCTTTGGAGGTGCCTGGTATTTTGGAGAGCAGCTATCGGGAACTGGGTTGAAAAGAACAACAGAGAAGCTGAGATCCTTACGGGGGCAAGGTAGGGGGCATGCGTTTCACCAGAGGCTCTGGGCCTTCTGTTCAGGATGTGGACAGTGGCTACATGAACAAGGTGGAGCTGCAGACCAACGTGGACACACTGACACAGGAGGTTGACTTCCTGAGAAGGCTCTATGAGGCGGTAAGGAGGTTTTTCCTAGACAGGCCTATACTTCCACACTTCCCATTGAGTCCTATTCACTTGGTGAAAAGGTGATAGAAGTGGGGTTTATGGGCTGGCTGACTTCCAATAGTCATGTTTCTCGTCCACTAGTGGGGGAGGAGGTACACAGCACAGGCACTGGGGGAGAGGAACTTTTCTCCTTTAGATGTCACAGGAGGTGAGATTCAGGAAACACCAGGTCAAGTTCTCATCCCTCCATCTCCCATAGGTCCACCTCCCCTTAAGAAGGGGCCTGTTCTATGTGTCATGTGCTGCACAGGTGAAAATGCAGCATCTCCCCACCTTCCTGGACTAAGGGCATATACCATTTCTGAAATAGGATGTAAAATTTAAGGTATTAAATGGAGCATGGACCAGCTTTCTGGGGGCATTGACTGGTGTACGTGGTGAAGACAGCTAAGTAGTAGGCTCAGAAATATGGATTTCCCTCTTCTTTCCATACAGTTCTGAGGACAACCTTGCTAGAGGCTGTGAAATGATGGTGATGTCACTTTTCATCCCACCCAGGAGATGCTTAGTCTGAGAGTCTGTGTGTTTCACTAACACGAGGTGGGGAGGCCTTCTCACTATCTGTGGTATGGGCAGAAAGTCATGGCCACACTTCATTATGTGTTGTAGGAAATGTCCCAGGTACACGAGACTATCACAGAAACCAACGTTATCTTGTCCATGGACAACAACCGCAACCTGGACCTGCAAGGCATCATTGCTGATGTCAAGTCCCAGTACGAGGATATTGCCCAGAAGAGCAAGGCTGAAGCTGAGACCCTGTACCACAGCAAGGCAAGTACAGGAGAAGCAGGGGCAGCCCCAGCTCCTTACAACAAACCAGGCTTCATCCTGAGTCAGGATGTATACAGTGGGATTGCCGGTGTGTTTCACCAATGAAGTTGGCCATCCTTCTCAAGAGAGTGTTGAGAATGGCACCAAGTTCTTGGGGAAGATGTGAGATCATCACCAACCTCCCATGAATATGACCACCACTTTCAGCCAGTTGCCAACCTTTCCTTAGCTGAAGCCAAGCTTCTCCCAGGCTGGAGGGGGTGTGACCCGTCCTCCTTTTCCCCCATTAGTATGAGGAGCTGCAGATCACTGCAGGGAAACATGGAGACAGCGTGAGAGAGCTCAAGATGGAGATCAGTGAGCTGAACCGCATGATCCAGAGGCTTCAAGGGGAGATCTCGCATGTGAAGAAGCAGGTGAGGCCTGGTCTGTACAATGGACCTAAATGTGCTGGTTGAGTGGGGGTTAGGTGGAGTGGGGTAGTTGTATCTCTGAGTGTGCGGTTGTGTGTGTATGTGTGCATATGTGTGTGTGTGTGTGTGTGTGTGCATGTGTGAAACTGAGACATTCTCAGCTAAACATAATTTAAGGCTATAATATTTAGAGGGGTCTAAAGGACATTCTAGAAAAAGGATCAGCAAGGGAAGAGAATTGTGTTCAATTTTTGGTTGTCTACTCAGGTAAAGGGGGAAATAGCAAATCAAGCACAGGTTAGCTTGACTTGCTATGCATTTCAGATGTAGTTTCCCATTTGTGGGTGGCACAGGCTCTGGGCAGCATCCAACTGGTTTCATGGAGGACATTGAGTGTTTTAGGGAGCTGATCTGGGGCTGGCCATTGGCCTTGGGACAGAAAATGAGGGGCAGAGTAGGCTCCAGAAGCAGGAGAATTTCTGCAAAGCAGCCTGCATAGAGTGTCTTCATTTGCATCTACAAAGTGGGATAACTCCTGGCCCTATGCTGTGAGGGTCAAGGCCATCCTTGGGAGCCCCGCTGGGCCCAGGCAAAGGGAAGGTGTGAAGAAGAGGTCCTGGAGACAGCAGCAAGTTTTAGCACAGTTGTTTGCAACATCCGCTAGCCCCAAGGGTGTCCAGCACCTCTGGAGCCAGTGATTCTCTCCTCCCACACTGAACATCTCTGCTCCTTTCCGCATCTGCCAGGCTGACTCCACTGTCTGTACAGAAAGAAACCTTCCCTCCTTTCTTCTTCCTTCTCTTACAGTGTAAGAGTGTACAAGAGGCCATTGCCGATGCTGAGGAGCGTGGAGAACGTGCCATCAAAGATGCCCAGAACAAACTCACAGACCTGGAGGAGGCCCTGCAGCAGGCCCGGGAGAACCTGGCCCGGCTGTTGCGAGACTACCAGGAGCTGATGAGCGTCAAGCTGGCCCTGGACATCGAGATTGCCACCTACCGCAAGCTGCTGGAGGGCGAGGAGTGCAGGTGAGGGGCACTGGGAGCGGAGAAGGTGCCCAGGTCTAGTTTCTCCTTTCTCCTGGAACTAGGGCCAGAGTGAGGGCAGGCAAAGCAGAGGGTGGGGCCAGCAGGCACTTACAACGCTCTTCATAGAGCAACTCAGGACCCAGAACATTAGTGTAGAGTTGTACAACAAGGCCTTTTGAAACAAAGTGAACCAGGCAAATAATTATGCATTTTCTGAGTGAGAAAGCAAAATCACGTGAAAATGGAATGGTTTTAGAAAATCTGAAATGTAGTCTCCTCTGCTTACTATTAGAATGTGCTCACTGTCTGGGACATGCTAACTCCAGTAGGTGCAGACCTGATTCTTTGCAGGTTTCAAGAGATGCAATGAATCAATGTCAAATCTTCAAAGAGGGGCCCCTTACTTCCCCTGTAGTCTAAAAACTTTGTGGTGTTATCAGTACCCCTGGTGATTTCATGTGGCAGAAGCAATTGGAAGGGGAAAAGCCACCCCGGGTCATCCACAAACCATTGTAACAAAGGGAGCAGCTTTTTCTGACTGTTGCCCTGTGTCTGGCTGGTAACAGGGAGGAGGAAAGGCTCCAGGGCAGCAGAGGACGGGGAGGGAGAGAGGAACAGGTAGGCTGTACAGAGCTGTAGTTCTTTCTGAATTGAATATTCACAGGAAAACCTCATTTAAAAATTTTAGAGAGGGAATTCTGAATAACGGACCCCTAAAATAGATTTAAAGAAATGTCTTTGCACAGTCAGAAGTGAATTTGGTGTTCAGTCACTCTGAATCAATGTTCATTCTAATCCAAGGAAAAGCTTGGGATAGATTGAGATGCCAGGCTGTGCATATAACTGTGGGGTCTGTCACCATCTTTGGCATCAGGCAGCATAGAAGGGAGTGGGATGTATAAGCCTCTGCAGGCTGATCATATTGACTAATCTGCACACTTGGAGATGGAAGTCATAAAATATGATGCATGCAGAGTCTACCCACCCTGCCACAAGTTCTTTTCTTTCTCTCCCTAACAGGATGTCTGGAGAACTCAGTGACAATGTGACTGTGTGTAAGTAGTGGGGTGTGGTCCTGTTGTACGTGGCAGTGTGTGGGGTAGAGGTGGGCAGTGCAGTCAGAACACTATCTCTCCTGCAGCCGTGACAAGCAGCACCATCTCTTCAAATACGACATCCTTTGGAGGCCAAGGTTCTGGAGGCAGAGGATCCAGTCATGGAGGAGGAGGAGGATATAGCTCTGGAAGTAGCAGTTATGGCTCTGGAGGCAGAAGATCGGGCTCCAGAAGTGGTGGAGGAGGCTCTAGCTTTGGCAGTTCCAGAGGAGGCTCCAGTTCTGGAGGAGGATATGGCTCTGGCAGTGGTTCTGGAGGTGGTAGAGGGGGCTCTGGTTCTGGAGGTGGATATGGCTCTGGTGGTGGCTCTAAAGGAGGTTCCAGCTCTGGAGGAGGATTTAGCTCCAGAGGTGGTTCCCGGGGAGGCTCTAGCTCTGGAGGGGGAGTTTCTAGCCTTGAAAAGGTTGGTTCTGCCTCTGTTGAAGGTTTCAGTTCTGGTGCGACCTTCTCTTTTAGATAAAGATGGGGCCTTCCTGGTTCTTCCACTCTAGAATACGGAAGCCTGTTTCCTTCCCTCTAACTGACAGCATGACAAATTTGCTATCCACCTCTGATGGCAAATGAATGCTCATATACAGTTTCTAAAGGTCTTCTTTTGAAATCAATTACTGTAGTTAGAGACAGTGACACTCATTGTTTTCTGGGGGAAGAATCTGCATTGTCCAAGTTGGTCTTCCAATCATGCCTCTACTCCTGGTCCCCCTGTCTCTTTGCTTTTCCCACTTGGGGGTCCTCTTCTGGAAAGGTATTCTATTGAGGACCCCAGGGCTGCCCACTGATGTCATCTCAAAGCCCGTGCCTCTCTCATGGAGGTGCCCTAGGAAGGGTGCTTCTGTGTACATAGCCCCTCTTATCAACTCCACTTCTGAGTGCTGTGGTCTGGGTGTCTGCACAATAAATTCATTTGCAACTTATGTCATGTGATGTTTGTTTTATGCCAAGGAATGGTGGGGGTGAGTAGCCACAGAAGGAAGAGATTTGGACATGATGAGAAGAAGGTCTCCTTGATGAGGGCAACACTCCCAAGGGAGTGTTGCATCCCGGAGCCCATGGTGTTTTCCTCTGGAAGGAAGGAAGCGAAGCTGGTCCTGGAGTCTGGGCCAGATGTGATGTTCTCAGAGAATATTGGCTAGGCAGTGGTCATAGGGATTTATGGAAAATTCTCCTTCTAGAAAGAATCACTGTAGTCATTTCTTTTCAGTGCAAACCAGCTGAGCCACTGAGCATCCACCCGGGCTTCTGTAGCTCTGAACTTCCCAGGCAGAGTTCTCTCAGGCCACCATGAACTAGGGGCTCTCTAGTTCTGCACAGATCCCCCATTTCTGCAGGTGTGCACCTCCTGGATGCTCTGTGTATCTCTGAAATGGATTGCTTGGGGAGTGTGTGCAGAATCTGACATGGTCTCACTTAACAGACTTGTATTTTCTCAGCAGAGTAAGTCCCATCCCAGTCAGCAAATAAAGGATCCTTCTTCCCTAATCCAGGGCTCCTTGGATCCCTGGCCCTCAGCCACTCCAGTTAGGGTGGGCTTCTCCTGTCGGTTTGGAGACGATTTCAGTTCCTTCCCCAAAAGGCTTTATTACCTGCCTTGGGCTTCGAGGGAGATAGGAATGGTTGGGCAAGGGATTGGTAGTGGGCCAACCAGAGTTGCCCAATGGGAGTTGATGGCTTGGGTGCGGTTAGGATATGCATGTAGTGTTCACACTCAGCAGATAAGGTTTTAGATAACGCAGAAAAAAATTCCTAAGGATTCTTTTTGTTTCTTATTCCATTCCAGCTTTGAGACCTTGGAAAGGCCTGTTTGAGCCTGTGACCTCTTTCTTGTCCCCCTGAGGACACAGGGGTAGCTTTTAGCAGTGCATGGGGTAGCTCTCATAGGGAGCTGTCATTGTCACAGACCAAGCTGACAGTGCTGGCAGAAGGGGCTCCAAGGGCGTCTCCTAGCAAGGTGACAACACAGGAGGCTGAGCATTCTCAGGTGATCGGCTGCTTTGAGCAGGGCCCCTGGAAATGTCCAGGGCTCAGTCAGGTGGAAAGGTCTGCGGAGGTTAGGGTGCAGACTGGGAAGGGGAGTATAGGTGGGTGGCTCTTAAACAGAGCACAGCACTCAGAAAGCAGAGTCAACAAGAGGGGCTATGTGTACAAAAGCAAGGCTCCACAGGCCACCTCCAGGAGAAAGGTATAGGCTTAGTGGTGCAGAAAGCCTCATCCTGGGGGTGAGGAGACTTAAACACTGACCTTCAGCCTTAGGGATCCTGTTGTATGACATTGAATAAAGTCATTTCTTATCCTAAAGCTCAATTTCTGTATCAGTTTATGGGAGCGGAATGAGATTGTCAGTCTAGATCCTTCCAGCTCTGATGGCAAGAATTGACCTGTGCTTCTTTCAGACTCTGGCCTGATGAGCATGTGGGACACAGTGTCAGGGAAGAGGCATAGAAACTCTGTGTGAGGATGCATGTGGCAAAAAATTTCAAATTTTCCACTTTGGATCAGCACAAGCCTGATGGACCATGGGTGAGGCAAGGGATTGCCCTTGGTGACATGGGAACCATGACAGTGCCTCCCACAGGGAGCTTAGGGTCCATGTAGGGACAGATGAGAAACTTACAAACGGCTCTGCCTCCAAGGCAGAATGTAATTAAAAACTAATCTGGGAGCAGTAGTGGACACTAAAGTCATCTACCCATTTATTAACAACGCATATTCTTGGCTCCATTCTCCTCCCCCAATATTTACCACAGAGGATTGGAATAGAGCCTGGAAATCTGCATTGTAATAAGCTCCTGGATACTTCTGTGGCTAGTGATGAAGAGCCACACTTTGGAAAGTACTGATAGAGAGGTTATGGGAACAGGATATGGTGGGTTCAGTCTCTGGCACCTTGAAATTTTTCACTCAGTGAAAACTTGATGATCAGATAGGACCTGGAACAAGTTAATTCATCACCAGCCTTGATTACCCACTTGTAAAACAGTACTAACAATATCTTTTCATAGGGCTGTTGGGAAGATTATACACATTAATAAAGGATAAATGTTTATTCTGTAAGACCTGGGCCTTTGCAAGTGTGCTCTCATTATTATGACATTATTATGCAGTTATCTTTACTACTAAGGTATTTATTGTTATTATAAGTTATAGAGAATATTATGAGACTGAGGAGGTTTGTGGATGAGATGACTTCACATCCAAGCACTGAGGAATGTATAGAGTTAAGTAAGAAATAATGACAATACTGCATAAGCTTTTACAGAAGATTGAAGAAGGAATATTTTTCACTTTGATTTATAAGGCCAACATTATCTTAGTTCTAAAATTATATAAAGAATAAGCTAAGAATCTATAGCCCTCAAGAACACAGATTTGAAAATTCTCAACAAAGTATGAGTAAATGCAATGTAGAAATGTGTAAAAATTTATAGTACATCATGGCTGTGAGGTTTGTCTCAGAAAGGAAAGACTCAACTTCAGGAATCAATTACTCTATTCACCATATTGACATATAGTAGAGTAAAAACACACATGACCTTCTGATTTATTGCAAAAGTATTAGACAAAATTCAACATACATTTATTGTGAGAACAAACAAACCAAGTAACAACAGAGCAAACTAGGAGTTGAAAGGAAGCTCCCAGGCAATTCTCTAGCAGACTTGGTACTTCATCTTCTGGGATCCACAACAGATTGCCTCAGCACGTCACCGTCAGACTGGATCGCTAAGCCTCAAAATCACATGAGTCAGTTATGTAAAATAAATCTCTTCCAGATAGATAGAGATAGAGCTAAAGCTGGAGAAGGAGAGGGAGAGGGAGAGGGAGAGGGAGACAGAGAGTGGGGAAAGAGTTTCCTGCCATTGAGACACAGAGAAAAGAGATCATTTTCTTTAGCTTCACCCAGTACTGGGATGGCTGGCTTGATCTGGGACTGGGGAAAGGCTGGAGAGGCATGTGGGGTGGTGCTACCAGTCTTGGAGCAGTACCACTGAGTAGTGGACTGGGCATGGGCAGGATACAATGAGTAGCTGCCCCAGCTACTCTCAGTGAGAATTGATGCAATTCTCAGAATGAGACTAAACTATTAGTCAGGGATCAGGCCTAGAGAGTCCTCTCTTCTGAACCCCAGGAAGACTTTGCTTATTATTTTGGTTGTTTCTGTGCCAAAAGGCTAGCTGGAGAAGTCACTGACAACGTGAGCTACTGTGAATAGTCAGGACATCTCCTTTGCTGATGAGTTCGGTGTCACCCCATTTTTCTAAGAGAAAGAGTGAGGAGCGGCCTTCAGCTTGGAGACTGGGGACCGTGGACCCTGAACTCATCTGCAGGCACTGGCTGCATGGCCTTGATCAAATCGCCTCTTCTCTTGTGGCCCTATGGAGAGGGTAGGAAAAAGGAGCCACAAAGGCCCTGTGCACACAGGCTCTCCTGCTTGCCTCCAGGTAGAGGAAGTGGAGACCCTGCCTGCAAGACCTGTGATTTGGTGATAGAGAAGGGCCCAAGTGCTTGGAGCATGGGGGGATCCTGGCATTTGTAGCCACTGTTCCGTAACGTTTCAGGAAGATGCCTCTCAGAGCTGTGTGCGAGATGGACATTCAGTGACATGAAGCAGTGCTGGGCTTCAGAGCTGCCCTGAGCGTCCCTCTCAGTCTCCTGCAGCATTGATATCAAGCACAGACTTAGCTTCTAGTGCATCTGGATCTGGCTCAGCTCTGGGGGCAGACTCTCAACAGGAGGACCCTGTGCAGCACCTGGAACTGTACTGAGAGTACTGCACGGTACTCAGGAGACACTGGGAACTCCTGAACATCCAGATCCCAAGCTGAGAATTCTGGAGACGCTGGTTCTGGCATGGGCAGTGAGGAGTACACATCAGTGAGAAGCCAGGGCTGCAGCATAGGGCCCCAAAGCCCGTAGGTCTCCTTCTTAGAAGCAATAAGCAGTTCTTGGGCTTGATCTTTCATGATATCAATCTAAACAAGTGTTCCATGGTGTTCATGCCTGCTCTGGCAATTGCTTGGGACAACAGTGTTAAGGGCATACCCTAACCTTAGTACAGAAATAAGAATGAGAGATTGGCAAAGTGCTCATTCAAGCACTCAGCTAGTGAAATAATTACATTTTAATGAAGAAAATTATATACTATGGGGTTTGGGAGTTCTGTGCCGGAGACCTTCCAATGCCAGTTCCCTGACAAAGTCAGGACTGGCAGAGGGTGCCTGCAAAGCAGGGAACACATAGGATGGGTGTGCAGCCTTTCCCTCTACTCTCTATTAATCATAGCTTTCCAAATATTCATTGTGCTATTGATAAAGGATGGTTGGGAACCTGAAGGATCAGAACTGAAAGTAGTTAAGTAATGAGAGCCCAGGGTGAAAGGCACCCCTCCAGCGTTGCAAAGAGAAGTAAAAGCCGCCACAGGTTTGCGTCAGTCTCCTACCTCCTGTGTGGCAATGTTCACCCACTGGAATGGGAGGGGAGCGCTGTGCATGTCCCGGTGGATGGGAAAACATTAGGCGAACATCCTGTGTGTGCTGGACTGGCTCTAGATGGAGATATTGTAAATGTGGGTCCTGTTGTCCAGGACACAAGTGAACAATTCTATGAAAAATTACACCTAATCTAAAACGCCTAGTGATTGATCTTTTTGTTTCCTTTATGTGCTTCAAAAAAGTTGATTTCTGTTAGGGTTGTGGCCAGATGGTTGGTCAACCATATCTGAATCTGTAACTAAAATAAAAACCTCATTGTATCTAAGAGTTTTGTATGTAATTGCAAAAGTATATAATAAAGCAAAAAACATTTCTCTGTGTCAGAGGAGACTTGCTCCCCTGGCCCACCAGAAGGACCTCTGTTGTCTGTGTTGTTTGTTTCTTTGCCCGTGTCGTTCCCTCCTGCAGGAATCTCCTGGACCTGCTGCGGCCAGACCACAGCAGTTCTGAAAGATTTGGGTTATTCTTTGACGATGTCAAGGGTCTAATGGATTCAAGTGTCTGCCTAGAATTCTGAGCGAGGTTTTGGTCTTTTTAGTTCAGAGTCTGAACTTTTTAGTTCAGAGTCCCAGAACCTAGCACAGTGCCAGCACAGGGTTAGCCTTCCGCAGAATTTTGTTAAGGGGATAGGTGAAGGAGGGCCACCTGGGAGGCTGAATGGAGATGAATAAGGACTGCACGGCTGTGCATGTGGAGTGGGAGTACTCAAGACTAAAGCCTGTGATTTTTGGTTGCTTCCATCCTCCGGGATTCTTACAAAGAAAGGTCTTGCTAAATGTTTGCTAAAGCATGACACTCTCAACTCTCTGAGCCTCAGCTTCCCTATTTGTGAAATGCAGATTGTCACAACTCTTTGTCAGGCAGACTAAGTGGATTGGAGCTGTGTGCAAGTGCTCTTTTGCCACTGTGAAGTGTTGTGCCAGTGTTAGCCCTTGTGAATGGTGGCAGTGACCATCATTTGAAGTTCAAGAGTAGGAGTAGAAGTTAGCATGTGCAGACAAAGGTGAGCAGCAGCCTGGCTCACATAGAGGACCTGGGGTGGGGGTGAATTAGAAGGAGGCTGTCAGCCAGTGGGCTGGCCCTGGATTCCTGGTGGGCTTCTCGTCCATGGCCTTGGGACACCCATGAGAACTGTCTCCAGGAGCCCTGGGAAGCCTGGCCACAGGACTCTCTTCCTAACCACATTAAAGCAGCTGGCCATGGTCCCTGAAGTAGCCTATCTGATGCCGGCACAGGCGTGAGATTTCTCACAGATGAAGCTGTCAATTAAAGGTCTCCTCTCTGGTACCAGGCAGATATCAGCCCCCTCCATGCCTTGGGGAAGGATAGTCGGAGGCTGTGACCACCTCCCCAGGGAAGATCTTTTTAGGGATAATTTGGCCAGGCTAACTACCCCATGTTAATCAGATAAGATGCAATTACGCTAGCAAGGTTTGCAAGCCCAGCACTTCCATGGTCTTTAAATTATTTAACTAGTGTCTCTGAGTTTGCTGGGAGAAAATAATTTCTTCCCCCCAGGTGAACTAAACCCATAAATTAGGGCAGTGGCTCTCTCCTGAGCCTTATAAAGGAGGAGGCCAAGATCAGGGGCTGGTGAACTGCATCACAGCTAAGGATTAGCATCGTCTCCCAGCTTTCTGCTCTCCCCATCATGAGCCGTCAATTCACCTACAAGCACGGAGCTGTCACCAAAGGGAGCTTCAGCGGCTGTTCTGCAGTGCTCTCTGGGGGCAGCTCATCCTCCTACCGTGCAGGGGCCAAAGGGTTCAGTGGGGGCTTCAGCAGTCGGAGTTTCTACAGCCCGGGGGGTGCTCGGAGCATCCCCTTCAATGTGGCCAGTGGCTCTGGGAGGGTAGGGGGCTATGGGTTTGGCCGGGGTTGGGCCAGTGGCTTTGCTGGCAGCATGCTTGGCAATGTGGCTCTAGGCCCCTCATCTCCATCCCTGTACCTGCCTGGGGGCATCCACCAGGTTACTGTCAACAAGAGCCTCTTGGCCCCCCTCAATGTGGAGCTGGACCCGGAGATCCAGAAGGTGCGCGCCCAGGAGCGGGAGCAGATCAAGGCGCTCAACAACAAGTTTGCCTCCTTCATTGACAAGGTAGGACTTTATGGAGAAGACGAACATGGTGCCTCTGTCCTTCCTCTACCTTTCCTGTCCCTGTGGGACACCCTCCCCCAGCAGAGAGGGACTGGACCATGACTTGGACACCAAAGCTGAGGGACAGGGGCTAGAGGGGTGAGAGGAGCTAGAAAGCTTCACCTGGGACAGTGTCTAGGAGGCAGAAGTGGTCTCCAGATAGAGAAGTGGGAGGTGGCCATCTGTGACTCAGAAGCCAGGTAGAGGAGAGGCCAGTGACAGCCTGGATGTCAGGGAAGCCAGGGAGCCCGGTATTTCCTTTCAGGGGGTCCAGGCTAGCACAGACCTGGGTGGAAGGAACAACTCAGTGTGTAACACACCTGCCTATGAGGTGAGGTAAACATGACCACAGACACCAGGGCCGTCATTCTGTAAAGTGGTCTCTGAACCAGAAACATCTATTTGTTAGAAACACACACTCTCAGGCCCATCATGGATCAAAAATGTTCATGTGGGACCCAGAAACATGCATTTTGACAAGTCTCCTAGGTAATTTGGATGCACTCTGAGGGTCTCAAAGATAAGAGGTCTTGAGAATAGATACTTCTTGATCTTAAAGGGTAAGGAAGCTCATGGGGTTGGGGTTGGGGCCAGTGAGGTAAGGTGGTAAAGTATTAACAGGAGTTTTCTAAATGTATGTGAGCAAAGGCAGTGCAGGCAGACAGAGTGTGTACAGGATAATAGGATTGTTTGGGACAGGAAGCCCTCAAGTTTGTGACTGTTGAGTACACAGTAGAGGAGGGGAAGAAGGTGCATTGGCCACATTGTGAAGAGCACAGTGAAAACTATAGACTTGACCCCGTGCGTGATGTGGAACCACTAGAGGGTTTTAAGTAAAGGAATGCCATGGTATTTGTAGATTGCAACCAGAGGATGCTTGTTTTTCCTCTGAAGAAATTCTTTGGTTGAGAGTAGAGATCCAGGCTTGAAAGTCATGGATAAAGACTCAAGACCTCAGCTGGGTAAAACATCTGCCTCTGGCTGGGGTGGGAGAGGCCATGAACAAGGAGATGCAGGATGGGCAGAGCACAGGCCCAGCCACTAGGTCCCAAGCAGAGGCCAGGATGTGCTAGCTCAGTATCTAAGGACAGGCCTTAGGAGGGCAGCCCTGGCTGAAGGTAAACATGGGTCCAGGCAGATGTAGTCAGCTGCAGAGGAGACAGAACCTTGAGATTGCAACTGATGGAGAGGGAAAGAAGATGTTGGGGTCCTTCCTCATCTTAGGGGCTGTCCCCAAACTGAGGGCCTCTGTCAGAGTCAGGGTCTTCAACTGGGAGGGGCACTTTTGAATGGCATTTTTAAGGGTTCACCTTTTAAGCTACTATAGCATCAGACAACATAGTTCCTGTCCAGGAAAGGAACCTCCAACTTGATTGTCTGCAGCCTGGGATCCAGGTGGCTGTTGGTTTGCGTTCCAGGTGCGTTTTCTAGAGCAGCAAAACCAGGTGCTGCAGACCAAGTGGGAGCTGTTGCAGCAGCTGGACCTGAACAGCTGCAAGAAGAACTTGGAGGCCACTTATGAGGGCCACATCAGCAGCCTGCAGAAGCAGCTGGAGATGCTGTCTGGGGACAGGGTGAGGTTGGACTCGGAGCTCAGGAGCATGAGGGACACGGTGGAGGACTACAAGAAGAGGTAAGCAGGGACCCTGTACCCAGGCTAGCCACCTTCTGGGGCTGGGTTTTCTCAGCAGACACTGGGACATTTGCCTATGGGCACAGGGGGCTGAAATTGGGCAGAGTAAACCACTTGAGCCCATCTGCCTGGGCAAGGTGACTACATTTAATGGGCAACCAGGTCGGGTGGGCAGAAGATAGTCAATATCTTGTGCAGTGCCAGGGGTGTCCCCTCCTTGGCAAGTTCCTTCTTGCTCCTTACTTGAGAGCCCGTGTGTGTGTGTGTGTGTGTGTGTGTGTGTGTGTGTGTGTGTGACCACCACCGGACTCCTGCACTCATCCAGTGTGCTGAGTTTGATGGAAACTCTCTTCAAGGAAGGAGGTGGACTCCTGCTGGGATTCCTCTCTCATTTCTCTGAGGTCCTGGACATTTGAGCCATCTCTTTCTTGTCCTGAGAGATGGTGCTGGCTTCCTTGGGACTCCTGCCTTGGGGTACAGTGGAGTTGGCAGGGCTGGCAGACAGCAGGGTTTATAGAAGCATGACTGAAAGGCAGTGATGTTCTCCTGGAATTTGGGTGCTGAGTGAGAGGAGGAAGAGCCTCCTCACTCTGCAGGCATCAGAGGAGATCCAGACCATCCGGTCATTAGGCTTGAGGCTGCCCACAACTTGGCTAAATAGGCCTAGTGGGTTGGGAGTATTTCAAAGGTTAAAAGGCTCTGCAATGTGAGTCTCTCTTTCCTCGTTTCTCAGTGAGAACACACTGACACACATACACACAGGCACACATACACACAAACACACACTAGTTCACATGCAGACACAGACACATACCTGCTCACCGGTTAATTTCCTGCAGGTACGAAGAGGAAATAAACAAGCGCACAACTGCAGAGAATGATTTTGTGGTGCTTAAGAAGGTGAGAAGGTGCCTGACCCTTGGTCCCCCAGGTATAGGAACAGAGGAGGGATTGAGGCCTCTGGTCTGCATAGAAGTGTCTGGTGCTGAGAGCTAGAGGAGAAGAGAGAGGGCTTGCTGACCTGATGGCCATCTAGCACAGGTCATTTATCAACTCCTTGTTCTTGTAAGAGAAAGGAATTCAGCTGTGGGCAATGAGTTCCCAGCTTATGCCCCCTGTGCTGGGGCACAGAACAGGCCCTGGGAGGGGCTGAGGTCTCCCACTCTGCTTGTCTCTGGCAAATCTTCATGGCTATGCCAGCTCACTGACTGCCTGGCGACTGCTATGTGGAGAAGTGGGCTCTTAGGCCCTCTTTAGAGAAAGAGGATGAGGGAGTTCCAGAGGCCTGAGGAATCTGCCTGAGGTTTGGTAGTGAGTCCCGGCTAGAATGAGTATTAAGTCTTTTCCCGGGGCACCAAGTCACAGGTTTGGGCACTGGGGCATTTCCTGGGAGAGGGTTATGTAAGCTTAAGGAAAGGGGATGTAAGGGGCCTCTGAATTCTCCTCAGGACGTGGATGCAGCATACATGAGCAAGGTGGAGCTACAGGCCAAGGTGGATGTCCTGGAGAGAGAAATCAAGTTTTTCAAGTACCTATATGAGGGGGTAAGACATCCCTCCCCGATACAGACTCATGATGAATAGTTACCATACTCAGTAACTGAGTCCAGGTGGGTGCTGGGAGCTTTGGAGATCTAAGGCAGAAGTGATTATCTATCTTGGTGTTCCATCAGTCCCTGCCTGGCTCCAGATGTCCTGCTGTCACATCTTTAAGAAAGCTGTGGGTCCTTCTGGGGTCCTCATTAAACCTCAGTCTAGCATATCCTTGTTCCTGCTTCTCATCCTGATGCTTGGGATGTTTCCTGGAGTCTTGGTCTGGAGTTCCCAGGAGGTGGGAACTTCTCACAACATTTCTACTTTTTTTCTTTGTGAACATCTGACTTTCAGTCTTAGCCTGTTGACCAAGCATCCATGGACTCCTGTGTCCTGAGCATCCCTCTTATGTTGGCAGGGTGTTTCCCTCGACCTTCCCCATATCTCAGGGGAACACACATATAAGCTGTCTTCTCTTTGCTCTGCCTCAAATCCATTCAGCAGTTTTCCAGTGTGGTGTTGAGACTTGAGCAGGTGAGCTCCAGTCTCACAAGCTTTGGGGACTGCAGCTTGCATCTGTTTGGGGTGGTCTGGAGCCATCTCACTGGGACATGGCCATTACCTTGGTATCATCCTCTGATTGTAAAAGGTATTTTGTGCTTCCTTGTGTGTCCTGCAGGAGATCGCTCAGATGCAGTCCCACATCAGCGACACATCTGTCATTCTATCCATGGACAACAACCGGAACCTGGACCTGGACAGCATCATTGCTGAGGTCCGTGCTCAGTATGAAGACATCGCCCTGAAGAGCAAGGCTGAGGCCGAGGCACTGTACCAGACCAAGGTCAGGCTGTGCACTTGTTCAAGGTCGCGTGTGTAGGGCACCTGCCTAGTCTCTCTCTTCTGTCCCATGACCTGCTATGGTCTCTGAACTTCAGCCAAGCATATTCTCAGTCTTAGTGCTGTGCATTGTCCCTGGTGCTCAGGGAGGCCCAAACAGGGAAGACACAGCTTTGCCCTTGGGGGCCACTTAGAAGGTGGCAGCCATTGGAGGTTGTACCCAGCCAAGTGTAGAGTGTACACTCGGGTACCAGGAGGCGGTAGGGCAGGTCAGGACCAGTTTCCTGGAGGCAGAGAGCACTGAATGGAGTCTGGGGGAGGGGAAACATGAGTAGGTAGCATCTCAGCTCCTTCAGTCATTATAATAAATTAGGGGGTCCTTCAGTGTTATTTAGGATCAGGTAACTCCTACCTTTTTACTCGAGCCCAACTCTGAGGATAAAGGAGAGTTTGTGTCCTTTAGATCTTAACGCCTCTAATGGGTTGTGGGTGGGAAGTGACTCTGTAGATAATTCAATTTCTCAGATCAAGATGGCACATTCTAATTGTTCCCTGCTCAGGCTTTGTCTCTAGGGAAATAGTTCTTGTGAGACCTTATCTCTCCTTCTATCTTACTTCCTTGCTAGTGTGGGACAGAGAGGCTTGGCCTTCAGAGAAATAGGGGAAATAGCTTTCAAGACCCAAGAGACAACACAGGCCAGAGCTTTTAGATAAAGATTCAGACTTGAATCCCATCCCTGGACCTGCCACATGACCATTACAAGCCATGGAGAGAATGCGTAGGAAGCATGGGTTCTGGGGCAGAGCAGAGGCTGAGAGCTGAGCAGCAGGAGGGAGCTGCCTACCGGCCTCTTGAGTCGAACAAGAGTAGGAGGCACCCTGCTCACACAGCCTTCCAGGGAAGCAAAATGAGCCTACCTGTCCTAGGGTAGCACCAAAGACTGAACACAAAGAGCACAGAGAGATGCCCTTGGCCCTCCAGAGGACTTGGCATCCCCAGGAGGAATCCTGAATCTGGGGCCATGCAGTGCCAACACTCAGGGACAGAGGCAGAGCAGTACTGCTCCTATCAGATAAGAGCGTTTCCTTAGACCAGATTCTGGGATAGAACTGCTGATTAGTCAATGGGTGATAGCAAAGACAGGAATAATCCAAAATAGCAGATTAAGTAAAATTCATGGCTGGTAGCATTAGAATATAGCTGAATCTACCCCACCACACACACACACACACACACACATGCACACACATGAACACTTGATGTTCCTCCATGCTAAATCTTCCATCAAAGAGGTTTTAGAAAATACGAACAGCTTATTCATTCATCAACAATACCTTTTTGTTTGAGACAGGATCTCACTCTGCAGTTCAGGCTGGATTTGAATTCACTGTGTAGCCCAGGCTGACCTTGAACTCATGGTGACCCTCCCACCTCAGCCTCCCAAGTGCTGGCATTACACGTGTATGGCACCATACCCAGCTCAATCACACCTTTTAAAACCACAAAATAAGTACTAGGAATGCAGTGAGGAAAAGTCCTGACACCTATTTATTCTGAGTGTGGTGGGGAAGGTCCAGAAATGTGCCATCATGGTACAGTATAGTCTTCCTTATGGACTGGTGTGTCAGGGGCAATAGAAACAGAATTGTACCCCACCAGGGCATAAGGGAAGGCTTCTCAAGGAAGTGGTTCTGCTTTGACTGAGCTGAAGCTACTTAGGGAAAAAGGAAGTAGGTTGGGAAGGAATTCCAAGGGGAGGTGGACCCTCGTGCAGACACAAGGACACCCCAGCATGAGAGAGGTTTGGAAGAACTGTGGACTATTTGGAACAGCAGCGGGGGACAGATAAATGGTGGGGAGGGGTAATAAGAGGTGAGCACCTTGATGCCAGGTTAGGAGTTTGAATTTGACCTTGACCTTGAAGGGCTACAGGCAAAGGAGGGTCCTACCTGGAGTTTTGTGTTGCAGAGTTGCAGTGTGGAGAGGATGGGATTTCAACTGTCCTTATGGCCATATGTAACTGTCAGTGAGATTGGCTGTGCTTCTGGCAAACAAACCCAAAGAATGAATAGTTGCAGGGAAGGTTGTTGACCTCCCCTCCTCTGCCAGGCTCCTCAAACAAAGGTACAGTCTTTCCTGAGTCATGTGCCTGCTCTGGCTCCTCTCTCCCCAGTTCCAGGAGCTGCAGCTGGCTGCTGGCCGGCACGGAGATGACCTCAAACACACCCAGAATGAGATCTCAGAGCTGACCCGGCTTGTCCAGAGGCTGCGCTCGGAGATTGAGAGTGTGAAGAAGCAGGTGAGGTCTTGCCTCAGTCCCAAAGGAAGGGAGATCACCTTAGCACACCTCCAGCCCCTTCTCCCTCTCTTTGTTCTCTGTGAATGTCTTTTCCTCAGTGGAGCCCCTACTTACTTCCCTTACAGTTTGCTTCTACTTGAACTCTGGAATGATTAATTACAGGGTATTTTCATGAAGCCACAGAGCTCAGAATAACAAGCCTCCCGGTGCTGGGTTGAAGGGCTCCACTGCCAGGGATGGGTCTTTTCTCTGAAAAATTGGGTTAGGACAGCAGAGGGTCCAGCCACTGTGAGACCTGTTTGCCTTGGAACTCGGGCTATCTCCTTGGAACTCTTGGAACTCGATGCTATCTCCTGTCTTAGTGCTCCAATCTGGAAACAGCCATTGCTGACGCAGAACAGCGAGGTGACTGTGCCCTCAAAGATGCCCGAGCCAAGCTGGATGAGCTGGAGGGTGCCCTGCAGCAGGCCAAGGAGGAGCTGGCCCGGATGCTGTGCGAGTACCAGGAGCTCATGAGCGTGAAGCTGGCGCTGGATGTGGAGATCGCCACCTACCGCAAGCTGTTAGAGGGCGAGGAGTGCAGGTGAGGGGCTGGAAGAATTCTTGCAGTCCTCCCCTCCCAATCACTTTCTGAGACTCAGGGGACAAAGTGCTGGAGGGGGCTGGAGTTGCTTTGTGGTTCATCCACAGACATAGCCTGCAACAGGATTCCATCAGATAAGCTCATAGCATGGTCCTCCGCAATTCTCTCTTTAGAGTCTCAGCTTTGCGCTGCTGTCTTTAACACCACAGACACTTGGAAATACCCCTGCTAATAAAAAGACAGTGGAGTCAAGTTCACAAGCTCTAGGCAGTCAACCCCCCTCCCTCCATTAGATTGTTTTATTTTCATTATATTTATATTTACTACTCCTTTTTTCTTATTTAGTTAAGTAATATGATTTTCTATCTATCCATGACCATACAAAACTTTCTTTTATGAGAGATGCATTTCTTTACAAAATGCAGTCAGTTAAAAATAGTAAATGTATAACAGTGTAAACTGCACAGTCATAACAATTGTTGAAAAGATGGACAGCATGCTAAGCACTGACATATACTGGACTAAGACACGTAGCTAGTTCATTAGTAGGAACTCCCAGTCCTAATATTTCCCTACATGTATTTATTCAGGCAACAGCTTCCCAGCAGTAAAACAATAAGCTCAAGGGAAACCCTGCAGGGGGCCCCAAAATTGTAGGCCCCCACATCTGTGAAGTGGGAAGGGTAGATGGGGAGGGAGGAGGTGCTTAGAGGCGTCAGGAGCCATTACCACAGCCTCGGCAGCTGGCGAGGGCTCCTGGAGCCGGTCTGGCTGGTGACTTCTGGCCAGTGCTGAGCAGTGGGGTGGGCAGCCCTGGGTCCTATGTGATGGGGACTCACCTGTGATTCCTCTCTCTGCAGGATGTCCGGGGAATACACAAACTCTGTGAGCATTTGTGAGTATTTCATGTCTCTGAGGGGGTGTTTATAGGCAATTAATGAAGAGAATAATAGGACCCCTGAGGAATAGCTCAGGCTCTGCCTAGAGGGCCACTACCATCATATACTTGTCTTCCTTGTTGATCCTCCATGCAGAGCTGCTGCCTTCTTGGTGGAGGCAGCTCCCCATCGCACTATGATGGTGCACACCAGCTCCTTCCCCAGAAATCTTACTCATATTGGAATGAAACTCTCAGCCCCACCCCATCTCATGCCACCTCCGACTTTCCTGCATGAAGGCAAATAAGTACAGGGTTGCACCTTCCCTCTGAGAGTAGAGAGGTTTGCACACAAATGCAGTGCAAAACAATTTTAATGCTGGCCCCACAGGGTTTAGCCCAGTCTCCTAAGCAAGGGATGGTAAAAATTCCCTAATTCAAGCTATGAGTAAATTCTTTGAAAGAGAAAACTTAAGAATGCATTCTAAAGTGGATTGCAGGAGCTTGGCTTACCTGTGCTTTGATAGTCTTTCCTTTGGGGGAAGATCTTGCTACTCTTGTTCATTCCAAGAATAGACAGGTGCCCAGTGGAGGGGTCCAGTGGGATCTGAGCTGTGTTCCTGTGAAGGCTTGGATAAGGGGAAGAGACATAAGCTAGTTGGGACTGGGTACTGAAGGACACATAGGGTCACCCTTGTTCTGGGATGCACACTGATCAGTGCTTTTGTTCTCCACAGCAGTCATCAGCAGCTCTACGGCTGGGACAACAGGTGCAGGTGCTGGCTTTGGGTTTGGTAGCACCGGCTCCTATGGCTACCGGCCCAGCTCTGTCAGTGGGGCTTATGGCATGCTGTCAGGGGGCTGTGTCACCGGCAGTGGGAACTGCAGCCCCCTCGGGGAGGCCAAAACCAAGCTGGGCAGTGCAAGTGAATTCAAGGATGTCCCAGGGAAGACCTTGGCTCTGAGTGTACCCACCAAGAAAACCATGAGATGAAGTGACAGCCAGCTCTGCAACATCAGCCCCACTCTTGTTTCTCTGGACTCCCTTCTCTAGGAAATTCCTCTGTCCTATTTGTCATCATCTCCTTCTTGCTTTTCGCCATTGCCATTTCCTTCTTTTCCACTTCTTTGCCTTAGTCTTTTTAAAATCTGAATCAGGACTCTAGGGCTGGAGTCTTCTCACCCATCTTTCTGTTTCCTCCATACAAAGAGACTTCTTAACTCAGCTTCCCCTTCCTGATGAGAACCTGGCCATTAATTTGCCTGCATGTTGCCTTGTAGAGGAAAGTTCTCACTTACAAATGGCCCCAAGTCTCCCACTGCCCTTCAAATCCTGGCTCAGAGAGTCATCTGGGCATGTGCTCTCTGGACACATGGTGGTTTAGGGGCACTGGTGGACATACAGGAACTGTTGCCTGCTTGCTCCAACTCTGGCCAGACACCTCGTCACAGGTTGAAGGTGGCATGGCCACTGACCATGAATCCCCTTATGGCTGTTTTCTTTCCAAATATGGCATTTGAACTCTCGGTCTGTGAGTTCTTGCCCTTGCTTAGGTTCCTTTCTCTGCTTCCTGTGTCTCACCAATAAACTTCTAAAATTCACACAGGATCAGGCTGCTTCTCTCTTCTGAGGGAATCCTCATCTCAGGCCTTGTCTCTTCTGTGTGTGATGTCACGGAATGGGGAGCCCACGGTATCTAGGCTTCTCTGCTCCATCCAGTCCTCAAAATATCATTTGATCTGAGTTGAAAGAGTTCCTGCAGGGACTGGAGGATGCGACCACCACCTTCCCTGACACCCAGCATTCACCTGCACTCCCCCATGCACTTCTAACTCATGCTTTCCTTAGGCCAATGGTACAGAGAATGCCCAATCTTTGGAAACATCCATATTATCAGTAAGGAGGTTCTTCTGGTGGCAAAATTTAAAACTGATCAACACAGAGTAGAAGACCAGTTTTAGAAAGCCTGGAGTTTAAAATGTTCCTTGTTCTCTGAGAATAGGACTCAACCTAGAGTCCCCTTAAAATAATGACCCAAGTTCATGTTATTACTTAGTAATGCTTCCACTGAATTGAGTAAAGATATGTGTGCATTTGTGTATAGGTGTGAGTTGATTCACAAATATGTGTGCATGTACCTATTTCAGTAGGAGTCAACTTGCTTTGCACAATACTTTGCTTGCAAAAACACTTGCATGCTCAGAAGTGTTTTGTAGACCTCCAGACTCCAATGATAATGTCAGGATGTGAGTGAACACAAAGGCAAATGAGAGGTGAACACACATTCAGGTTGCATCTGAACAGGACCTCTGTGGATCCAGAGTGTCTTAGTTACTTTTCTTTCTCACTGCTGAGACAAAATACCTGACCCCAAATTAAGGAAGGAATTTATTTAGCTCACAGTTTGTAGAGGGTTCAGTCAGTAATCAGCTGGCTCCAAGGCGGGGTGGCATGGCTGAGGGGCAACCATTCTTGGAAGCAGAAGACAGTGAAAACAACAAGAGCAAAAAGGGGAGAGCAAGTCTCTTTTTCTCCTTTATACTGTAAGCAGGTTACCCTCTCTAGGATGGGTGTAGCACTCATACCATTGACCTCCATGCCCTCCTCTTGCACAGGCTGAGGGTATTTACAAAGTAAGGATCCTGTCCCCTGCTGAGCTGCTTAGTTAAACTTCTAAACTTCTCAAACTGACACAGTGAATCAACAATTACAACATCTTGGAGCATGAACAGCTGCCCTAGGGCATATCCTCTACACCCTAGGATGTAGAACTGAGTTACTTAACTTAGCTGAATTACTTAGTTAAGCTTCTAAACTTTTCAAGTTAACACAATGTATCAATCATTACAGAGAGTCTAGACTCCAAGTGCAGAACTTTGAATTTGGAATCTCTTTGCAACTAAATGGTGATCATAAGTGAAGTTCTCAATCCATTGGGTCTCATTTCTTTAGCTATAAACTAGGCAGAATAATAACCCAAAGTTATTGTTAGGCTGAAATGAGACAACATGAGGATGTCTTGTGTAATTCCTGGCACAAAGCTGATGCTTAATAAATCAGAAGCCTTTCCTCTTTTTGGTTCAAAAATCTGAGTTAATTAACTCAGGGAAAGGTGTGTAGATGCTGGTAAAGGAACTTACAAAATCTAAGCTTTAAAAATACCAGTTCATCTTGCAAGTGATAAAATCTGGTTATTTCCCAAAGGATAACTGGTTGGCAGAATAATCGGCCTCAGGAATAACCTCTTGGGATCACTGAAGAAGGCGTGCTCAATAGCTATTATCTGTTACATGCCTGGCATGTATTAGCACTGGGGATATATACATGAAGAAAGCTGGTCCATGCACCTCCTGGAGACATCACTACCAAAAAAGGTAACTGCAACATGATGAGGTATCAGCAATGAAGGAAGACACAGAGGTAGCTCAGAGTAGAGAAAGGAACTACAGGGAGGTCAGAGAAAGCTCACAGAGAAGGCAAGAGGTTTCAGAGGATAGTAGAAGTCTACTAGATGGACAAGAGGAGGAAGTGGGCTTTGTAGCTAGAGGCCACCTACAGGATGAAAATCAAAATTGGTTATTGCCCCTGTAGTGAGAAGAATGAGGCTGAGGCTGGAAGGGTCTCAGTAGGTAGCAAGGCAGGTACAGTGACCCTGGAGTTGAAGAAGCAGTAGCAGTGTATCAGAGAGCATCTTCCTTATCTGCCAAGAACTGGGGTTTTATCTTGTAAAGGGCAAGACAGAATCAGTTCCTTGGCCATCAGAAAGACTCTGAGTCAGGAGAACTCTGTACCTCACTGTCTGTGTGAGATGTAGGCAGATACTTCTGTTCCATACGTCTCAGTTTCTTATCTGCAAAAGGAGTTAATAATAGTAGTCACCTGAGGAAATTGTCCTGAGAATGAAATGTAATGAAATCATGTTTGAAAATTATTTAGTTTCGTGTCTTGTACTTAGCAAGTACTCCATAAGCAGCATTATGAGTTACAGACTATTCTTTCAAGAAGCGAAGAAAGTCTAATAAAGATTGCTTAGTGAATGCAAATTTAGGTAAAGAGAGTTAGCTATTAAGAGATATTTCTGTCACCCAGTTTCCATGATCAGATTCAGATAATTAAAAGCGACTGCCTCAAACCCTGAGATCTGAGCAACACAAGTATACAACAGGAGTAAGTTTGTCACTCACAGTACAAAGCAGACAGGGGCAGGTGACCTCTGTGGTTCTCCCACTGGCTGTCCTGGGGATCTGGGCTCTTCTCTCAGGTGGCTGTGCCACACAGGATATATGACCTTCAAGGACACCAAGACAGGATATGGGAGATGGAGGAGGAAACATGGCTATGAGCTGCCTCATCACCCTGGAAGTGACACCCTTTACTGCCACTCACATTTCCTTGGCCAGCAACGAGTCGCATGGCTCCAAGCCCCAAGAGAACATCAGAGGAGGTTGGGGAATGAGGAAGAGTGCAAGGGTGTTTAGCTTGCTCTGGCAGACTCTGGTGCAGGCTTTCTCAGGCTAGAAACCCAATACTTGTTTCCAGGCCAAGAATTCTCTCATCTTTGGCCAGAGCTGGGAGGCTACTGGGCACATCTGTAGAATCCAGGCAACTTCCTTTGGTTTTGGAAACATAATCCTGGGGCTAGTGTGGTTGTTTCTGGAAAAATCCGGGCTCAAAAGGAAAACGCGCCACATTGAGACTTTTGGAAGGTGACTTTAATGCTAGCAGGCTGATGGGAATCAGTTCCAAATCATCAGCCCAGAGTCATGCTCGAGTTCAGTTTAAATATTGTTTGCAAGTGGGAAGTACAAAGCTGATAGTAGGTGATTACATGATTAGTTACATGGAATACAGGAATTATGTCATATATTGTTAGGCAGAATTGTACAAGAACATTCTGGGAGGGAGGGGATCTGAGAAGAGTAGGTAGAGTTGAAACTGTCCTTGACAGGGCCAGTCTTACCCAAACATGACATCCTTGAAGCAAGTTGGAATCAATGCATATTCTTTTAACTAAAGGAAACACAGTCAGTTTGACCCATCACATTGTTAAAGGATGACAACTGGGTCCAGATAGTCAAGGCTTTAGCTGAATTTAGCAAGCTAGCTATGTGACAAGCACCAGGAGCCTGTGGTCACAGGTTTGTAATTGATTTCTAACTTTTGCTATTATATGCCTACCAGTCTACTATTCTGTGTAAGTGTCCTTACATCATAAACTGATCAGGCTTCATGCTTTCTTGGGGGCGGATATATGTTTGGATTTGAGAAATTTAAGTCTTTTTGATGGTGAAGTGGTGATACTGTATTATCCTTCAAATATTGATGCCCTATAAGGTATTTGGCCAAAAAAAGGGCTCTATGGTTAAAAAGGTTTTAAAAACATTGAGTTTTTGTTTTTACAAGAAGAGTACTTGTATTAGTCACTTTCCCATTGCTGAGACCAAATAGTGGACACTTGCAACTTGAAGGATAGTAGGTTTATTTTGGCCTATGGTTTTCAGAGGATTCTGTCCATGGTTGATTGGCTCCAAGGCAGAAATGGCACGGCAGAAAGGCGTGGTGAAAGAAAGCTCATTACTTCATGGCAGAGAGAGGAAGCAGAGAGAGAGAGGAAGAAGGAAAGCTGGGGACAAGAATACAGTCTTCCAGGTCGCACCCTCAGTGACCCACCTCCAACCAGGCCCCACCCACCTCCTAGGAGCACGTGAACTTCTGAACCCATCAGTGGATGAATCCAGGGATGACTGTAGTGTCCTGAAAGCCAGTCATCTTTCACACATGTGAGACTTCTGGGGGATATTTTAGCTCCAACCTATGATACTACTTTATTTCTGATATTAGAATTTAAAAATAACTCATGTATAGAAATTATATATTCCTATTAGAAAAATTAGAAACGTTAAAAAGTAGAAAAAACATTATTCATAGTTTCACTTTTACAATCCCTGCATGTAGAAAAGGTTGAGTTTTTTTTTAAAATCACCCTTCGGTACAGCAGAAAGCACTAAATATCTTTATGTTGTGTTATAAACAAGAGTTTAGTTCTATCTGCCTATCTATCTATCTATCTGATTTAACTTTTTGTTTTTGAAGCAGGGTCTTACTATGTAGTTCAGGCTGGCCTTTAATTCACCATGTAACCCAGGCTGGCCTCAAACTTGCAGCAATCCTCCTTATAATTCCCAATTTATAAGAATTATAAGTGTGCACCATCACTCCTGCCTGATTTAACTTTTTAAGAGCAGTTTTAGGTTCACAATAAAGCTGAGTGGCAGGTACAGAGATTTCCCATGTATTCCTTGCCCCACAAAATAGTCTCCCTCATTATCAACATCCCACCAAGGTGGTACGTCTGTGACAGTTGATGAGTCTATCATTATTACCCAGAGTTTGTAGTCTATATTAGTGCTCACTCTTGGCATTGCACATGCTATAGGTTTAGATAAATGTAAAATGACATACACCCACCATTATAGTATCATATACCATAGATTCACTGCCCTAAAAGTTTTCTAGCACTAAGAATATTAATGGCTTTAAGAAGTCCTACAATAAGACACCTGTTTAACTTTTTAAAACCCAGTACAGAATCCATCTTCACATTTCTTCTGCACATGATACTTGCTAATTTTCCAAGAACACTTTAGTATTTTAGGACAAAAGAGATGCAGTATAACTTGCGTACCTGCAAGTGTCAGGTTAGGGTGATTTTATCCATCCTTTGTTGTAGCACATGGTTTCAAAGGGGGATGTTTCTGGTTTAGTCTACCTATGCTGGTGGCTTTAACCCAAGAACTAGTGGCGGAGGAGATACCAGCACCTGAGCTGACACAGTAACCCATTGTTAGAGGCAGGTGCCATGAGAACCCTTCCTCCTAGGCCTCAGCCACCTTTGATCTTCCCACATCTCCACATATTCAGTGCCTTTGAAACCTGCATGTGTCACTTCGGTCTCTCTATCTCTATCTGTAATAAAGGCAATGGCAGGGTTGAGGAGCTTCTGATTCATCCAGACTGTGAAGCCCTTGTGTAAAGATAGGAAAAAGTCATTTTACCTGGCTCCTATGCCTGGGCAGAAGAGTCCTGGTCCCAGAAGAACCAGTATGTCAGCTTCTTAGAACGTTTCCAGAAAAAAAGGTGACTCTAAAACTCCCTTTTTAATCAGTGCTCTGTAAGGGTGCTCTTCTTTCAGTCCAAATTATTTTCTTGCATTTCTATTTTCAGTGGTCAGAATTAGTAAACTCTTTCTTGTGCCTGTAGGGAAAAATCCCACTAAAGTCTCAGGGTGAGAGTAGGGGAAATTTCATGAAATAATGAAAAGTACATGAGTTTCTTCTCTCAAGAAGGAATGGACTACAGCCCTTCATTCTCCTACAGTCCAGAGCTCGCCCTTTCCCTACTGGGGACACTCCAGACTTCTCTATCCATCCGTCTGTGTCTGGTGCCACCTCCACCACTCATAGATGTCCCCACAACTTTGTTCCCTGAGGAGTAAACAGCTCGGTTGCCCTGCTATTGGCCAAGTGGAGACCGTGTCCGTCAGTTACCTCCAAGTACCATCCGGCCACCCGTGAGGGCCCTGAGCAGAGCCCAGGCTCCAGGGTAGAATGCAGGGTCCCACAGTGAGCCCTGTCCTAAGCACCAGTCTGCTTCACAATCATCCAGGGAGTCCCCCGTGCCAAGGTCAGGGCTGGACTCTGGGGAGCAGGGGGAGGAAGCCTCAGTCTGATGGGAAGCCTGGCCTTCTGCTCCAGAGGCCTCTAGCCCCAGGCCAACCCCACTGGAATTCTACCTGAAGATCTTGGCAGTGGGGAGCAAGGTAATTGGAGGGCAGCATGTGAAGATAAGGTAGCCACATTATTATAATGCAGGTAGTCAGCAAAGAAAATGCAGGGTTCTAGGCCATTTTATAGGGGATTCATGGACAGTCCAGGAGGAAGAGACAAAAATCTTGGAGTGGACGGTAATTTCCTAATTGCAGAACCAAGTGATCTCAGAGGTGTTCCCAACATACAAATTAGTCTGACTCCAGTGTGCTGGCCAGTGCAGACCTATTTAAGGCAGAGCAGGGCCGAGAGCAGCAGTGGCCCTGGCCCGCCCGCACGGTATCGCCCAGCAGACTTCCCGGTCTTCACCAGCATGAGCCGCCAGTTCACCCTCTTCGGCGGGGAGCGCCTGGGCTTCAGCGGCTGCTCGGCCGTCCTCTCGGGCCGGTTTGGCAGCAGCCGCTCCTCGTTCAGGGCAGGGGTCAAGGGCGCGGCGCCCTTCGGCAGCAGGAGCCTCTTCAGCCTGGGAGGCAGCCGGCGCCAGGCGCGCAGCGCAGGGTCCGAGCGGGGCGCCGGCTATGCACTGGGCCATGGGGGCGCGGGCGGCGGCCGCCCGGGGGGCTTTGTGGGCACCATTTTCGGCAGCGCTGGGCTAGGGCCCACGTGTCCCTCGGTGTGCCCCCCCGGTGGCATCCCTCAGGTCATCGTCAACAAGAGCCTCCTGGCCCCCCTCAACGTGGAGCTGGACCGCGAGATCCAGAAGGTGCGCGTCCAGGAGCGGGAGCAGATCAAAGCGCTGAACAACAAATTTGCCTCCTTCATCGACAAGGTGGGTCCTCCAGCCCCTGCGATGGCTCCCCAGTGCACAGTGTACTGGGTGGATTTAGGGCAAGTTAACACCTCTCTGCCTCCCTTTCCTCATTCTTAAAATGGGCACAATATACTCCAGTGCATTCAAAGGAGGACGGCTTGGGATGTTTACAGTGGCTGGCACACACTCCTAATAAGGGAAAATCTCAGTCCTTCCTCCTGGGACAAGACAAGACCCTGGGAAGGGAAGGCCCCTCCCCACCCCAGAGGCAGGAGACCTATGGAATGGATCTTTTGTGGGCTCCCAGAGCCAGAACAGGGGCACTAGGGGGTCACAGGCGGAGGGCTGTGAATGGGGAAGGACTAGAAGGGTAGGAAGGGGTCAGTGTGTGAATCAGGCGGATTTCCAAGGGAGGTAGGAGAAAAGGGCCACAAAATTAAAAGGTGGGGCCCATGCGACCTTTTGAAGGAGGGCATGTGGGGTTAGGTGTGTGTTGGGAGAATGTGCTCAGAAATGGGCACAGCAGGGAAGATTTCTCGGGGCCGGGGGCGGGGGGGGGTTCAGTGGCAGTGACCCCAGGGAGTGGGGAGGAGGCTAGGAGTGGGCTTCTCATCTCCACTGCGGAAACAGGGCCAGACCAGGAGTGGTGACAAAGGGACAGACGCAATAATGATGACAATAGCTGACACTGATGGAGGCAGTACTTGGCACCCGGCGCTGTCCCAAGTGACACATTTATCAGTGCACAGTCCATGATCCTGTTATTATTCTGCCTTGAAGAACAGGAAATTAACACAGAAGGAGACTTAGCAATGAGCTCAAGTTGATGGAGCACTCGATGATGGGCTGTGTGCCTCACCACCATGCTAGGGAAGGGGAGTGAGGTGGCTGGAGGTGCTAGACCAGGAGCAGGAGAAACGTAGCTACTGTTGTGGAGGATAGGGGCCATCCCTGGCCTCTTTCAAAGAGAGTTGTTCTTGTGTATGTTTCCTGTGTCCCCCAAGCTTAAAGATAGGCAAGAAGAGGAATGCTGGTGAATAGCAAGGGCCTAAAATGAGGAACCTTAGATGGGAGAATCTGCTTTCAACAATAACAACAACCAAATCTCAACTAATCAGGAGCAGTTCAGGCCCCAGGAGACAAAGGGTCCTAACTACCAGACTGACTTCCCAATCTGCTTCTCCTCTGCTGTTTCCCAGAATCTAGAATGAGAAGTCACGCCAGTCACATGAAAACCCACCAAGGTAGAGGTGAATGACATCATAGCGTAAGCCCACTTCCTGATTTCTTTTAGACTGGATCTCGCTTCTTGTCTTGGAGATCCAAATGACCTTGTCCCTCTGGCTGCACAGTGTCTGATGAGCCTTGCTCCATCCTGTCCCACTCATGACAGGCAGCAGCATAGCGACTGTGGGTCATGACCACCTTTGGGTTTTAGGTGCGCTTCCTGGAGCAGCAGAACCAGGTGCTGCAGACCAAGTGGGAGCTGCTGCAGCAGCTGGACCTGAACAACAGCAGGAAGAAGCTGGAGCCCATTTATGAGGGCCACATCAGCAGCCTGCGGAAGCAGCTGGAGACACTGTCTGGGGACAGGGTGAGGCTGGAATCAGAGCTGAGGAACATGCGGGACATAGTGGAGGACTACAAGAAGAGGTGAGTAGGAGGCAGAGAAAATGCTACTGGAGAGTGTGACTGCAGGTGAAGTTTCTATTTCCAGCCAGTATTTTTGTCTTCCTAGATCCTTTGCTGAGACCATCGCTATTTCCTGTCCCATAGGAGAGGGAGGGTCAGGAAAAGCAATGGATCTCCCCAGAATGGTGCTTGAAATGTGTGTTGAATTTCTACCCTTGGAAAAGGAAGAATGGGGGAAAGAGAGTTAGGTGAACACCCAATGGACAAATCAACTGGCTTTGTGGGTCCTCTAGAGTGAGATTTCCATGGCAGTTCCCAAAATATTAAACACCCCACTAATCCCAGCACACTTTTTTTTATTTTAAAAATAAAAGGAGGAAAACATTAACAGACAACCTTTTATAAAATAGCGAAAGAACAGTACAGACAATACAGAGTTACAAACAAAGTGATAGGAAATTAACAATGCTTGCTGTATTACATATTGATATCTTCAAAGTGGTTTCTCATGAAAACAGATAGAGACATGCAATATTGAACAATCAAGGACTCATCGACAGTTTCTTTCAGCAAAGAAATAGAAGACAGTGGAACAACTATGTTAGCTATCCTGTATATACATACATACAAAATTTCTCCTTCTTTCCCTTCGCTTTTCCCACATCCCAGTTGCCCTTTACCCTTGAGCTTTTTCCTATCATTTCACAATCTATCATACCTCCGAGTTTAAATTAACTCTTTCAGGTTTTACACTAGTGAAACAATGCAGTGTTTGCACATGCATGTCTGATTTATTTCACTTATGAGTATGGTCTCTAGTTGTGACCATTTACCTATAAAAGCCTTGAGTTTATCTTTCTTTATAGCTGTATAATATTCCATTATATAAAAGTATCACAATTTTCTTATCCAATCCTTGGTGGATGGACATTTGGGTTCCCAGCACACATTTAAAAAGTAAGCAAAAATGGTTTCATGTTGAAAATGTCTTTGAAATCAGAGATTGTCTCTCCCTCTGAATTGAGCTAATTGTAAGAAAATTTAAAAGTCTAGGTGCATTTTGGTTTAGTATCTTGGAAGATGCCAGGATTTCTAAGAATAGGTGGCTTCTTCTATAGTTTTATAGGGTAGAGGTGGTCAGGGCTGAGTTCTTTCCCTTGCTCCATGTTCAGTCTGCCAATCCATCCCTACTCAGAAATCCCCTTTCAGCGGGAGGTTGGCCTGAGCTTTGTATGGAGACCCCATGGGAGGAGGTGACATGGTCCCTGACCTCAGACAGTGCTTAGTTTGTGAGGATACATTAAAGAATGCTTTCACCCAGTGGAAATGAATACAGTGTGAGCTGAGATCAAGTAGAATTAAAATAGGAATTGGAGCTCAAGCAGTGATCAAAGCAGGGCCTAGAAAGAAGCGAGGACGAGGCACAGTTCAGGGCAGAGGTATGCAGGGCTGTGCTATCTCAAAAGGGTACACGTCCAGAGTTCCAGAATTACCACTTGCTCACTGAGCAGCCATGGGCCACCCTCTTGAGTCACCATGATCTTTAATACTAATAGCTATAAGAACCAAGCTGGGTGTGATGCGGCATGCCTATAATCCCAACACTCCAGGAGGCTGAGGCAGGAGGATTGCAATTTTGAGCCCACCCTCAGTGACTTAATAAAAAAAATAAAAAATACCTCTAAATAAAAAATAAAAAATGGCTGGGATGTAGCTCATTTCAAAGGCCCTGGATTCAATCCCAAGTATTGGGAAAAACAAAAAACAAAACCTAACCAAATCAAGAACCAGTGTCGATACTTACCTTAACACCTAACAAAATTGTTGGGAGGATAACTTAGAGAGCGAAGTATTGACAGCTCTTAAAAGAATCAGAGTATGAAATACATGTAAGGCACTGTTTCCCTGATGTCCAAAGTCTTGTATTTGAATCCTAGTATTACTAGCATTGTGATCTCAGCCAAGTATTTTAATGTTTTTCCCTTCATTTATAAAATTGAGATGATAATAGAAGTAATTTCAGAGGTTTGTTGTGGGAATGAAGTGAAATGATTAGTTTAGCACAATAGTATGTAGTAAAGGATAAAACAAACAGTACTTGCATTTATTAAGATTATTCATTTATTCTGCTATGGGTTTTTTCTATTCCTCTCTTACAACATTTCATGACAAATCCTAATAGTAAATCATCCTTGAGTCAGCATTTTGAGTGCATTTGCCTTCCTATTAAACTATGAATTTCTAGACGGCGGATAGCGTGTGACTTATGCATCATGGTATGCTCTGAGGTTTTTCTCAGAGATTCTCTAAAATAATCTTAAAAACTCACAATTTTAAAAAGTTGGCATCTAAAGTTTTTACCATAAATTTAAATATAGTTGCAAAGAATGTAATTTCAAACTTATTATGTGTGTTGCCATTTAAAATTACACTGGCTGTGTCAGCATATTTCAGATTGAGTCCAGGTGCCATGACAGTTTAATATACCACCCTTCATCTGGAAAGTTAACAAACAGGCTCAGCTTTAAAAATCATATTTACATTGATTGTTTCCCATCTGAAATCCAATTTTCATGCTACTTTCCTCATGCAATTTTATTATAGTGACATACAGTTTTATAACTGTCAGTGTTTTGTTGACCACTCTAGCTACCACTAAATAGGCAAAGAACTCGAAATGTTAAAAAGTTTACTTCTTGTAACTATGGCCTTTCAAATGCTTAAAGATTTATTCTGGGTTGAGCTATCTAGACAACAAACTACGTTGCCAATTTTGTACATGAGTATTAAAAAGTTGAAAATTTTTGGAAGTACAGTTTTTAATGAATTGAAAGTGTCAATTTTCTTCTAACTGGCTTAGCTATCCATGCTTAAATATTGATTCTTGTTAAAATGACATAGGAGTCTAGTACTATATATTTTTCATTTGTAGGTAAGTTCTGGGAAACTTTATTTATATAAACAGATTTTAATGGAAATTTGAAACTTTGGGCTCATTGGAAAGGGCAGTTTTCATTGTCAAACCAGAGAAATAAGAGTTTGTGGCTTCACTGATAAATTCAGATAAAAATATAAATATGTATATTTGGGGGATATTATTAAGTTACTCAGGAGTAAACCAAGGAATACATCTTGTACAGTAGATTAATGAAAGCACTCAAGATTAAAATAAAGAAGACTTAATATACTTAGCATATCTACTTGACATTACTAACGTGGATTCTATTTGCTATGGAACAGGATAGATCAGTATGCACTTACTCATTGCTTAATTTTAAATTATATATTGTAACAGATTTTTAAAATGTTACTTATAAAGTCAATAGTACTATAAAATAAATTTATTCTTTGTAAATGTGAATATGTGTGTACTGAACTCTGGTCTGTGATTTCTGGAAATAAATAATGAAAAACTACTTGTAACTAATGTCATTGATTTTGACAAATTTCAATTTGTTAAAAACTGTAATTCCAAAATTTTTTAACTTTTTAATACTTATGTGCAAAACTTGGCAACATAGTTTGTTGTCTGGATAGCTCAACCCAGAATAAATCTTTAAGCATTTATCTTGATCAAATGTTTTTAGATAGTTTATAACATAGAAAGATATAAACTACTAAGAAATAATTGGTCTGCCAACTAGCATATGCTTTGAGTTTTATCAAGAGGTGGTAGATAGAGTACTATTGAATATGTTACAAAATATAAAGATAAAGATAGATTTTCTTGAAATACATATTTCAGGATATAAAAAAATTCCAACTGTCTTGTGAACAGCACATAAAATCTGAGATAAATCATGTAAACTGTTTCCTGTGTGGTTATCCAGTATAAATAGAAAAAGCAGACAGTCTCAGAAAATACCTCATGTACATTTAAAATAATGCATTTCACAATCCACACTGTATCAGACATTCAACAACTCTTTCGTGGGGAAGCAAACTACCAGGGACTAGCCTTAGAGCCAATGAAAGAGCTGGAAAACATTGCTTATGTTCAAGTATATGGGAAAAAAGAAGCTATTGTTTAGCATTAAAGCTTTTTTTCCAACTTTTTAATTGTGGTAAAACATACATAGTATAAGTTTGCTTTCTTAACCATTTTAAGTGTAGAGGTCAGTGATGTTAAATAGAAAATATTATCATAATGTTGCACAACTATCACTATCAGCCAGCTCCATAACTTTTCTTATCTGGCAAACCTGAAATTCTATACTCATTAAACAGTGATTCTCCATTTCCTTCCTCTTCCCAGCCCTGACAGCCACCAATCTGTTTCTATGACTTTGACTACTTTAAGACTACCTTATATAAGCAGAACCATACCTATTTGCTTTTCTATGACTGGCTTATTTCATGCAACATAATATCCTTAAGGTTCACCCATGTGGTATCATATTGCAGAATTTCCTTTAAGACTGAATACTACTTCCTGGTATCTGTATGCCACATTTTGCTTACCTATTTAGTATTATTTCTTACCAATGGTCAATTTCTTTGTTCTCTTAAAGGCCAATTTTTTTGTTTTTTTTTTTTGAGACAGGGCCTCACTATGTAGTTCAGGTTGGTGTTGAACTTGCTACTTATGTAGCCTAGGCTGGCCTCAGACTTGTGGCAATCCTCCTGCCTCAGCCTCCCGAGTGCTGGGATTACAGGTGTGTGCCATCATGCCTGGCTCAAGTGTCTTGTAATACATTCTTTTAACAATAGTAAGGGCTGGAAGAGGTTGTCTCTTTAAACAAGATGATCAATAACCATACTTCCTCAATTGATAATATTGCTGTATGAGGAATACCCCAGCCCCATCTAAACAATTTCTAAGAACTTGTTTCACCTGGAACAGAAATGTGTGTAAGAAACATACATAACCTGCAGTTTAGAAGTGACAACAGTGCTTTTGCTTTGGGCTGGGAGGCCCTGGTAACCTGGGCCATTGTGCCATATTAAGGGGATAGGCCTTTCTGCTGCAACATGGGAGAGGCCAGTTGTGAAAGGGAATTGGGACGGTAGGATCTGCACGATGTCTCTGGCACAGATGCTTTCTCAGGCAGCTTGTTTTAGGGAGCTGACTGTGAACAAATGGACTGCTTTGAGCTTGTCCTCGCCATGTCTCCCCAGGTAAGGCTGTGCGTGCTTCAGGGACAAATGGCCACACCCCACGGTCGTGGCACAGAAGGGCCCTCTCACCTCTCAGTGAGGGTTTGCAGAACCGAATTATCTCAGTGACAGTGCCATGTCCTCCTTTGTCTCACCCAGGTACGAGGTGGAGATTAACAGACGCACTGCAGCAGAAAATGAGTTCGTGGTGCTGAAGAAGGTAAGAAAGTGCAGTAGGCCTGGAAGAAACTTAGAAGAGTCCCACCGCTGGCACACTGGTGTTAGGGCGAGGGAAGGAACCCTCCAGATCACTCAGCTCCTTGGACAAGGGTAACTAGGATTCTAACTTCCCGGTTCCTCCTTCCAAGTTCCATTGCCTGGGGTGCATGCTGCTCCCAGAGACTCCGTCTTGATATCCAGGCACTCTGCTGCACTTCCAGTGCTGGTTTTCTCTCTGGGATTGGGTCATTCTTGAAGTGTGAGGTGAGGGGAGTGGATGATGGATCAGGGAGGGCAGGGAGGAGAAGGCAGCTGACCCTCTCAAGGCAGCCTGGCGGTCATGTATTTCCTAGGATGTGGACGCTGCCTACATGAACAAGGTTGACCTGCAGGCCAAGGTGGACTCTTTGACAGAAGATATCAAATTCTTCAAGTATCTCTATGAAGAGGTAGGAACTTCACTGGCCTCTCTTGTGCAGGCAGGTCCTCTTGCAGGCGACTTATGGTTCATGGCTGGGATGGTTTGTGGATCAAGGAACAGGAAATACAGCAGGTGACTCCCTTGAGTCCTCTGAGTGCCATGCAAAGAGTTCTAACTTGATTCTGCCAAGGGGACGGTGGATTGCTAGCTGTTGAGGAAGAGAATACAGATGGATAGGATGGTCCATAGTACCTCGTGGAAAGGGAGTCCCATTGCTTGGGGCTGATGCTCGAGGTGCTCATTCCCATGCCTGGCAGCCACTGGTGCTGGGGCAGAACTTAAATGTTGAGGAAGGGTGGGAAGAGCAGTGGGGAATTTTCCCAGGAAGCATCAGGAGACATGATCCCCACGTGCGAGCCCCCCTAACTTGCTACTTGCCCTCCACTGTTCCCAGGAGATCGCTCAGATGCAGTCCCATGTCAGTGACACATCTGTCGTTCTGTCCATGGACAATAACCGGGACCTGGATCTGGACAGCATTATTGATGAAGTTCGAGTCCAATATGAGGAGATCACCCAGAAGAGCCAGGCCGAGGCTGAGTGCCTGTACCAGACCAAGGTGAGCTGTGTGCCAAAGCCCAGTGACCACAGCTGTCGGCCTCTCATCATCGTGCATGTGCATATGTGTGAACATGTGTGTGTGCATGCATGTGCTCACGTGTATGTCCTTGTGTGCATACGTATGTATGCATGTGTGTTTGAGATTAGTGGAGACCTACTTTGTACTGGAGCAAGGTTTCATGACATTGCCTCTTGGTAGAGCACAGCCTTGGCTTATACTGGAGGCATATATGGGATTAGCCTCTCCCTCAGCTGAGGCCGTACAAGCCACAACTTGATAAGACTACCACAGTTTCTTTGGATAATCTACATACTTCGGTTTTTCTTCTTGTTTCTGTTTTTGGCAAAATGAAGACTGAAAATTCAAGCTCCACCAGTGCTCTCGTATTTGAGGACTCAAGGATCCTATTGAACTAGGGAAGGTCCCTTCCTCTCCAGAAGAAAAGGATGGATTCTCCCTCTTCTTTTCCCCTTATATCTTCCCTCCAACTCCCCTCTGAGGCCAACAAACCCAAGAGTTCCCCAGGGTTTGCAGAGGCCAGTGCAAAGGTTTAAGGCTCTCTTCACTACTGCTAACAGGGCTGCTCTGACAATAAGCACAAATGTGGTCGCCCTCCCTGTGCTCAACACTCCTACAGAGGCGAATTCTCAACTGCCCTGTGATTCTCTTCTTTTGTCATTCAAACTCAGATCCAGGAGCTCCAGGTCACAGCAGGTCAGCATGGGGATGACCTCAAACTCACCAAGGCTGAGATCTCGGAGGTCAACCGGCTGATCCAGAGGATCCACTCGGAGATAGGAAATGTGAAGAAGCAGGTGGGTCCTAGGAAGTGAATCAGGGGATGAGGCGTATTGTGTGCTGATCTGGACAAGGCAGAACATGAGAAAAGGGTAAGACACGGTCCCTTCCTTAGGCATTTATAACTTACCAGGAGAGGAGGATCAGAGCACACATGGAAAAACAGTGTTGTACACAGCACAACATATGCTGTAGGTACTGTAGGGGTCCAGAGGGGCTGAATGAGAACTCAAGAGAAGCTTTCTGCAGGAGGTGGGTTCACACTGGGGTGGGGTTAAAGGGGAGGGGAAGGTGTCCCATGGAGGAGCCAACAGGAGCAGTAGCAGAGGTCGTGCCTGTGCATGGGGGGAGGGTTGCCCGCCTGGAGCCAAGTGCTACTCGGTGAGAGTGGAGGACACCACTAGGTAAAGGTACGCACGCAGGTTATGGACAACCTTTAAAGCCAGGCAGTGGGGTTTAGATTGGACAACTCCTCTTTAGCAGGTAGAGGGAACCACTCGCAGGATTTCACACAATTCCTTGTTGGAGGAAGAATCCACAGTGGATTTTAAACAGGGGCTGCACTGGTGTGCCAGCCCTGTGGTGGTGCTGTGCAGGGGTGTTGCACCTGGCTCCCCTCTCTGCAAGCACACAATTTGGGACCACATGTGCATCATCGTATCTGTGGCTTTGAAGTCAGCAAACTCATGAATTGCTTAAAGTTTGTTGAGGTCAGGGCAAGGATTTAAGGATCTCGCTTCCTGGGCAGGTTGTGGCCCCATTTTCTTGCCTCCTTTTCGTCCCTCACCCCCCTTTCCATCCCCCTCCCCCTACATGAACTACTGTTCCTCTGGGCAATGGGCTCATGGCAGTGGGAAGAAGAAAAAGCAGCATTAAATAAGAATGTATGAGGCAGGAGGATCTCCTGTTTGAGCCCAACCTGGACAATTTAGTGTTTTGTGAAGAACTTGTCTTAAAATGAGAATAGGAAAAAAGGGCTGGAGATATAGCTCAGTGTGAAGGCTCTAGGTTCAATCCCCAGTACAGAGAGAGAGAGAGAGAGAGAGAGAGAGAGAGAGAGAGACAGAGAGAGACAGAGAGAGAGACAGAGAGAGAGACAGAGAGAGATGATGTATTTAACCAAGATCTGCACAATGCAAGAAAAGTACAGGTGTTAGAAGCTCCTCCAGCATTCAGTGTAAAATGCTATGGGCTCCTGCTTAGGTGAGGTTAGTACTGGAAAATGACATTTTTCAGATTAGAACAGCCCTGTACTCTGTTGACTAGGGAAGACGTTTCTGTGGTGGTCTTGTGATGCTTGGTTTCTATTCAGATGTCTTTTGAGAGTCCTCAGCTAAGGGGCTTTCTCGCCCCTCTTGCCTCCTCACCCAGGGAAGTCCACAGTTCCACATCAGAGCCTCTTGGCATTTGGTGGCCCCAGAATCCATGTGGTATTTGTTTCAAAGGATGCTAAAATTTTATGCCCTCTCAACTCCCACAACATTCAGAAGATCCAAGCATTTGACATTTCCTGGGCTCAGCCTTTGGCTCATCATCAGTGAAAAAGGACAGAGGACTATTTGATTGAATTCAGGTGGCAGAGTTTATTAACAGCCTCTTTTGTGATTGGCCCTTCACAGTCTGAAGAATGACACATGATTTTCTGTGGCCAGGCAGCTGGATCCTGGGTAACTTCTTGGGGTTGTGGGCATTGGCAGTGCTGGGGGCTGCCTGGCTGAGGAGGTAGCACCAGCTTGAAAACAGTCCAGAGATCTATTTGGCATCAGGGTTAGTTGGGTGTTTTTGGTACTGGGAATCAAACTAAGGACCTTGCACTTGCTGGTAGGGTTAGCTGTGAAGTCAACTCCATGGAAAGGGGACACCTCAGAAAGTGAAGGCTGGTGCTTAGATCCTGTCAAAACCCTAGCTAAATGACAAGAACACACTCAGACTAAGAAACTCGGGAAGGATCTAGGGCTTTCACATGCATGCAAGCACACAACCCCATCTGCAGTGTCTCCCACTGGGTCGTGCGATTCCACCTAACAGAGGCATGTGTCTCCTGTAAAACCTGTTCATTATGTAAGAAAATCTTTTAAGCCGGTCCTTGACTGTTAATATAGTTTTCTGTGGGGCCCTGGGGGTGAGACTTTAGGTGTGGTGAGCTTACTAGAAAGACATTTGATTAGTAGGAATGTTATTAGCCACCACTCTCCTCCCATGATTTACAGTATCTCCCGAGACAGCCTGTACACACAGATTTGCACTAGGTATGGCCACCTGGAGACTTTTTCAAGGTTGTTCTTAGAATCTTATAGCTGATAAGACCCGGTGGGACAAGGCTGGGTCTACATATCCAGGTAGCCCATCTTCCCCTCCACTCTCCCAGGTATAGATAAATTTCTACTTCAGATGCTGAGGGCTGAGCTGGGATGGCTCCTGTCTGGAGTCAAGGGAAAGACTGACTCAACTCTACTGATGTCCAAAGTTAAATCAACCAGGAGGCAATTAAAACATTTGCTCAGTCAGGACCACAAGAGGTCGGAACTGGGCTCCCACTCAAAGTGCTGAATCTCTTTTCCCCTCAGTGCTCCAACCTGGAGACATCTATTGCTGATACGGAGCAGCGGGGAGACTGTGCCCTGAAGGACGCTCGGGCCAAGTTGCATGAGCTGGAGGGTGCTCTGCAGCAGGGCAAGGAGGAGCTGGCCCGGTTGCTGCTTGAGTACCAGGATCTCAGGAATGTAAAGCTGGAGCTGGACATTGAGATCACCACCTACCGCAAGCTGCTGGAGGGCGAGGAGAGCCGGTGAGGGATGGGTAACTCCTGTATGGGACAGTAGTTTTCTCTCTGATTTCTTAGGAAGCCCAAGGCAAACAGTTTGGTTCTGTTCAGGTGCCGTCCAGCAAGTGGGCTTCCCTTGTGGTAGGGAAGTTATTCAGCACGAAGGACCAAGTTGTAAAAATCACAGCGATTGTGTGAGAGAGAGGATATTAATGTCACCATTTTTGAGACACAGAGCATTCCCTGGCTTGTCATGGTGTACAGGCAGGTGGGGAGGAGGTGCATGATGGGCACCAGGAGTCATCCAAGTTCAAGGTCTCCCTGGCAATGCCTGGGGCTTAGTGGGGACGTGGACTCATTCTTAACAGTCTAAGGCTAATGGCATCAATGGGGGGAAGTGGGACAAAATTGTCCCACACAATGGATAATCCCAAAGTCCCTGCCGAAGAGTGAGTGACTCCCTACAGAGGAGTTCTCTCCTCAGTTCTCCATTGCTTGAGAGGTCCTGCTGGGAGGTGGGAAGAAAGGAGGCCCAGATAGTGTTTTTAGAAGAGAAGCTTATTCTTAGAGGTGACTCCCTGGAGAGATTGGGAGATAATTAAGGAGGATGTGCTTGTTTTCTTCTCCCTCTGCAGGATGTCTGGTGAATACCCAAATTCCATGAGTATCTGTAAGTACCTGTACATCTCAGTTCCGACTGTGGTCATTTTACCAGAAGTCTAAGTCCCTATATTTCTATGATACAAAAGAGAAAACAGAATCGCAGAGAGGGTTCAACAGAGACTTAAGGACAGAAAAGGAAGCTGACTTTAGTAGCAAAAGGAAAGTGGTGGATAGGGAACAATAATCTCATTAATACAAAAGTAAAACTTACAGAAAAATCCAGTGACACCCAACTGTCTGCTGTAAGAGCAGTGTTTCATGGCTACCTTCTTTTCCTTTCAAGATCAGACCAACGTAAAGATCCTGGATTATAAGAAAAAAGATTGAAGGAGGCCTGAAAGGCTGAACAGTTTTTTAAAAGGCACCTGAAACAATCATCTTCAGGCTTAAATCCTGGAGAGATGCTGAATGCTAAGAGGCAGGGATACTTCCAGGGGGCCCCTTCAGCAGCAGCAGCATAGAGGTCCTCTGTCTGTGAAGTACCTGTCTTCATTTTGTCCTATGCACAGGTAAACTCACTGATAGAGATTTGTCTGCTAGGATCTTAAATTTGATATCAATAGATTGACACAGACTGCTAGGAAAGGGTCAAATACATGGGGCTGAGTCCATTAAAAATGAAGCCATATATGATCAGTGCTCATAAGAACCTCTCAGTGAGGGGAAAATATGCAAAAAAGAGAATATCTCAACATGAAACCACAGCACGGGAGAGCTAAGGCAGCGGCTAAAGCCAGGATGCCCCAGAAGGGCCTCTGCCACAGTACAGGCTGACTGGGGTCTTGTCTTACCCTTTCTAGCGGTGATCAGCAGCACTACTGGGACAGGAGGCGCTGGTTTTAATGTGGGCTTTGGCACCTCAAGCAATTACAACTACAGACCTGCTGCAATGGATGTCAAGACCAAAGGCAACTATGTCAGCGAGCTCAAGGATCCTCTTTGCAAGACCTCAGGCAGCAGCTGTGCAACCAAAAAGGCCTCCAAATGACAGGCAGTTAGGGTGCTGTGAGCGGAAGGCTGCAGAATCCAACCACTTCCTCTCCTTCCCAGCGCCCTTTCCAGGTCAGGAAGTCCTTTGTCTCTCACCACAATCCCAATCCAACCTCTTTTCCATGTTGCAGGAAAGCCAGTCATGGGCTGTCTCACTTGCCTCCTCCCTGGTCACCTTTCACTGTGTGACCGCCTCCCGCACAGAGCTAATGCACACACCTTGGGTGTTTCCCTGCAGCCAGATGCCGGCCCCCCTGTCCAGTGCCTCTTGGGGCCTTCAGTGCCAAAGGGTTCTCTTTGTCCTCTGACTGAGATTGTGTCTAGTTCTCTGCTTCTACAATAAATGATTGCTGCCCTTTGTCTTAGTCTGTTTTCTGTGGCCATGACAGAAGAGCTGAGGTTGGGAAATTTAGAAAGAACAGAGATTAATGTTGGCTTACACTTCTGAGGCCCAAGAGCATAGTCCCAGCATCTGTTTGGCTTCTGGTGAGAGCTTCGTACTGTCATATGGTGCTAGAGAAGCAGAAAGGAGAAGCAGGCATGTAGGGAAGGAATGTGTGTGTGTGTGTGTGTGTGTGTGTGTGTGTGTGTGTGTGTGTGTGTATGTATGTGTGTGTGACTGATGGGAGATGCCAGATTCATTTTCTAACAGCTCTTGAGAGAGAACTAATCCAGTCTCTTGAAAGACATCAGTCCATGAACCCAGTCACCTCCCAAAGATCCCACCTCCCACCACCAACACGTTGGGAATGAAATTCCAACATGAGTCTTTGGAGACAAACCATATCCAAAACAGCACCATTTGGTCTTCAGTGTGGAATCTAGTGCCCTGATCTTGACCTTTGCATTGTCCTAACTTTTCTTGGTCTGACTCTTGTTTCCCTATGAGTTCCCTTCCTCATGTAGATCTTTGCTCTGTGGTTCTATCCAGGTGGGCTCTGGGTGAAAGGTGAATGTGGTGAACAGCTGGATTTGGTACTGATGCAGCTTTGGGGCCAGTTCAGTGGTTCTTGTGCCCTGCGTCACATGGCTCTGTGATGAGGATGATGCCCCCCTCCAGAGATGTCTCACAGCCAGGACTGTCAGGAGTTGGAGCTTCCACATGGCTTGCAGCTCAGTTTCTCGAAGACCCTACGGTCTCCTCCACTTGCTGCCTGGAGTTGCCAGAGCAGCCATTCCTTCTTCCTCGTGTCTCACTCTGCTGCCTCCCGCTTCCTGACCCAGGTCCCGGCAGTGGCCCTGCTTTCTTTCCTCTTCCTTTGCCAAGTTCCTTTTCCCCCTCAAGTGTGAGGTCTGTTTGGGTGCTGAGGACATCAGAATAAACAAAGTGGCCCAGACCTCAGAGAGCTCACAGTCTAGTGGAGGGAGTAAAATAAGCAACTAACAAAGCAATCTATGATGCAATATCAAGTGGTGATAAGTGCTGTGAAGAAAATTAAACAGAATGAGGAGCCAAGAGACCCAAAGGTGCTCTTTTTAGCCATCTATTGTTCTGCAAGAATGGTTGTATCTCAGGTAGCAATTGATTTGAGCAAAATCCTTATATTTTTCAAGTGCAAGCCTTGTATAAAAGTGCAAGCCTTGTATATAAGTGCCCATGTGCTGTTTTCCTCACTCACCTTTCCCCACTTGTATACTCCAGTCTTCCCCTAGGCAAGCCAGGATTTTCTTACCCATGAGCCTTTGCAAATATGATTTCTTTCACCACCAGCATCCATTCCCCATTTATTGGAAGACGGTTCATCCCTCTTGGGCTGGCTAACATGCCACCCCCCATGTTCATGTGGGGTCTGGTTCCTCCAGGTAGAACCCATCAGGCCATCTAGTGTGAAGGAAGAAGAAATATCCTAGCTGCTGACCTCCTTTCCTTCCCCACTCTGTAGGTGAGAAAGCGGAGGCCCCAAGGGCTGAGAACAGATTGGTTCACAGCACCGGGAGGCACCAGGGTCTGGACTGGTGGCCCCACACTGGCAGCACCACCCTTAAACTCATGTTATGGTTGGTTTCTTTACCTACCTGGTATCGTGGTGGCTGCCCACACACCTGTGCCCTCACTCTGCCCCATCTCATCTCTGGTTCCAGGATCCTCAGTTATGGTTCACAGTTGGCATTCAGCATGCATTTGCCACAGAGCAGAAAGCTCAGTGCACACACACGTCTATGACTTTCATGTACAGGTGTGAAACACATATATGTTGGTAAATCAGTGTTTTATGTGCATTGGTTTGTTTATGTAATTTATTGACCAAACAGAGGCTTTTTTGTCCTACACAGGTGTTAAACAGGATTAGGCAAAGGCAAGACTATCAGGTAAATGGTCCTCCTGGGTATGGCATTCTGACTGACGAGTCATACACCTGGCTCCAACTTCTAGCTCTTCTCTTTGCCAGTTGTGGCCCAGTGTGAGATCCTGCTTTTGTACAACAGGATTCATATGAGCTGGCCTGTGTTGAGCACTTTCTATGTGCCAGAAACTCTCCTCCCACTGTCTAAGTACTTTCCATTGGCGATTCATTAATTCCCCTGTCAGTTACCTATGCATTATTGTTAGAAGGCATAGTTGTTATACTGTCCATTTCGATTGTGAGGGTACCAAGGCTCAGAGGGACTGAATAGCTCACGAGGGTCACACAGTGACAAAATGGCAGAGGTGGGAGCTGGAGCTCAGTCTCATTCTGGAGTCTGTGCTCCTAGCTCTGACACCACTTTACCCATTAAAGGACTACCAGAGGGGACGCCAAGAATATTAAAAGGGACCATGGGAGAAAAGACAACTGGAAAACTGTGGACCATGGAAAACTGTGCCTGGAGCACAGTTTGCACATTCATTTCTGTTATGATTATAGTCGTGGATCTCTTAACGATAGGGACATGTTCCGAGAAAAGTATGGTCAGCTGACTTCATCACTGTGCAAATGCATTCGAGTGGATGTGTAAGGCTCAACTGGGACACGACTCTCCCAATACCCAACCTGTGTGCCAGCAGAGGCACTGTTCTTAGCTCAGCACCCGGGCTGCCCTCAGCAAGCACAGAATGTCTTTGAAAAGATAAGAAGGAGCACGGAATCTTGCAAGCCCCTGGACATCTAAAAGCACCCAAGCGTTCACACTGGTTGCCTCAAGGACTTTGCCCACTGAGGCACGAGACATCCAGAGAACTTTGACCACTGAGATTCACTAAGATCGTCTCACCTAATGTCCCTTGCCTTCTTTCAGGTCCCATAAGTAAAGATCCACTTTTCTGTGTTCCCTACAGATGGCCTTCACGCCCTCAGTCTGCCCACACCCAGGTATCAGACTGTGTGCCTTGCTGCTTTCACACAAGCCTGGTGAGTGGTCTCTGCCTTGTGTTGTTCCTTACAGAACATGCGCAGACCTGGATGGTCTAGGTCAGTCACTCGACCTGGCCTCTTGATGCCGCAGAGGTTGCTGCTGGGGGGGCATGACACCCTGGTTTACAGTGCTTGTTTTTCATAAGTAGAAGTACACTCTAAAATAATGATAAACAGTATAGTCTAATAAATACACAAAGTGGTGACATGGTCATTTATTATCATTACCCAATCTTGCATATTGTACATACTTGTGGATATTACACTTTTGCATGACGGGCAGCTAGGAGATTTGTGTGCACCAGTGCCGCCCCAGACATGTGAGGAATGCCTGTGCTATGACGGCTGTGGTGTCACAGGGGATGGGGATTTTCCAGCTGCATTATAACTTCATGGAGCCACCATGATATATACCATCCCTTGTTGCCAAAATAGTGTTTTGCAGTGCATGTTTATCATTAACTCCTGTTTGTGGCGCCTTCTGTGTTGGTGGGCTGTGCACTGGTGCATCCCCTCGCGTGCATGCGTGCGTGCCGTGTGTGTGTGTGTGTGTGTGTGTGTGTGTGTGTGTGTGTGTGAGACAGCAGCAGGACTTGCTCAGAGGCCTTTCAGAGCTGGAGCAAGTGTGGGCTTGAGGGCGCTGGATCCATTTCCTGAAGCAAAGTCCTTCCCATCCAATCACCAGCTGTTCATTTCCAAAGATGCAAACCTTCCTGGGTGCCTCTGTATTTTGTGCACACACTGCCCTCTGCCAGCGGCTCCTGGGTACTGCACCTCCCCTGGTCGTGGGCCTGGACAGAAGGTTTCCTACAGCAGAGGGTGGGGATGATCATCCGCAGGACAGGCTGTGTGCCACTGCAGAGCGGCCAGCTGGAAGAGACTCATCTTCGCTGCCTGGCATGCCCAGGCTGGCCCTCGTCTCTGTGTTGCCTGGGCCTTGGCTCCTCTCTCCCCTCCTTTTCTTCCCTGAATTCTCCTCTCCTGGGAGGCAGGAGGGGGCAGGGGCGCCACTGCCGCTACCTGAACCTCCTTACCTCTAGTTAGCCTAAGCGTTCAGACAATGTTTTCTCAGAGGATGCCTGAGAACCTGGGTGCCATTCCAGAGGTTTTAGGAGAGAGTCCTGTCATTCAGTAATAATCCCCTCTTCGAAGCCCTCTGGCATGGTGGGCAAACTCTGGGCCTAGCTGCAAGAGCGCCCTTTCTGTCTCACACAGCAGATGCCCAGGCTGACGGCAGACAGCAAGCTGAACACGACCATCAAGAAGGCTTCCTAGAGGAGGAGGAGGAAAAGGGACATGAATTAGAGACAGGAAGCTTTTGGAAGACATTGGAAGTCCTGTTGGGAACTGCTCTGGGGTTCAAATCACCCTTTGCCAGCTGCCTCCAATTTCCCTTCCAGGAGTCCATCACTTGAGCCCCCTGCAAGGTGACAGTTGCATGAAGGACAATTATTCTGCACTGTCCCTCAGTTCTTGTGTCCACATCTGGCAAATGCATCCATGTATCATTCTCCCCCTCAACTCTAGCTCTGCAGGCTCCTGGCACACACAGTTGTTTGAAGGGTCTCACCTCTCCTACAAACCTCTTCCATCACCCGGCCCCATCTGGCCCCCACCTCCTTGTGTCTGTGCACACACCTCTTAGGAGGTTATGGCCTAAATTTTCTGTCTTCCTTCCTGTGCATCTGCCCCAGGACACCTGGCCAGCCCTTTTAGACCCAGCTTGCAGGGATTCTAGATTCTTCTTGCTGATATTCAGGATGAAGCAGCAGGTTCTATGTGAAAGCCACCTTCATCTCAGAACGTGAACTGGAGCACAGTGCTTCTAGGATTGGAAGGGACCATAGTTATCACCTATCTTGTGTTCACCAGGTGTGGCTGAATCTTTTTGCTGGTTTATTTCTTTTGCTACTTATAATTGGCTTGGGAAACTCAGTCTCCCCCTTTTGTTTCCACATCTGTCAAATGGGAAGAACAGGAGTTGTTTCCTCCCGTGATTGGTGTGAGGATGAAATGAG